ATGAACACAATCCTTGTAAACATCATTTAGTTTCAACACAGTTGGACGTGACATTTACAGATGTTCATCGCTTGTGGACCAGTTCAGTTTTAGGTTGGATGACAATAAAACATATACTGCCCCAAACGAACAGAACCCTGTAGAAAAGCGTCTGTCAAGTCAAATTATTTGAACACAATACTAGCGTCTGTCAAGTCAAATTATTTGAACAAAATACTAGCGTGTCAAGTCAAATTATTTGAACACAATACTAGCGTGTGTCAAGTCAAATTATTTGATACGGTTTGAAATTGTCTGGTGCCCTCTTGAAGTTTTGGTTCAGTAGATTAATGTTGAATGCGTCTTAAACTAGGGCTACCAAATGAATGGTTAGCGTCCTAAACTAGGGCTACCAATGAATGGTTAGCGTCCTAAACTAGGGCTACCTAAAGAATGGTTAGAGTAATGAAAAAAGGGCTACCAAATGAATGGTTAGCTTCCCAAACTAGGGCTACTAATTGAACAGTAAGCTTTCTAAACTACGGCTTTCAATTGATCAGTCAATACAACATACTCCAAAAGAGACAAAGCAACATACTGATGAGAGAATATACAGCATATCCCGAGAGGGACAAAACAACATACCCGAGAGGGGCAAAACAACATACCCCGAGAGGGGCAATACAATATACCCCGAGAGAGACAATGCAACATACCCCAAGAGGGACAAAAACAATATACCCCGAGAGGGACATACAACATCCCCCGAGAGGGACGATACAAAATACCCCGAGGGGGACAATACAAAATACCCCGAGGGGAGAATGGGTCGGATAATTGCATATTATAATATGATAATTTGTAAGGCGATAGTGAAGTGACCAACCAGTTGGAAACACAGCTGTCCTCTACTCACGTGACAATGCGGCTTAACAAGTTCAATACAGATTTCTAATAAGCCATGAGGGTACTGGTAACTGTTGCTAATCTGTGTGAACACTATGGGAAAACTGAAATAACTTGATTTCAAAACCAATATCATTTCAAGAATACATTGCAGGGCCGTGTGGATGAAACGCTGCGCCCTGGGCGAAGCCTGAAGATGGCGCCCCCCCCCCCAAAAAAAAAATAAATGATCTATTATTGGGGTCTATATATATATCTTGGTACCCGTGGTTTTTTTTGGGGTGAAACACCAAGCCTAAGCCCCAACCTACCAATATCATTTCAAGAATACATTGCAGGGCCGTGTGGATGAAACGCTGCGCCCTGGGCGAAGCCTGAAGATGGCGCCCCCCCCCCCAAAAAAAAATAAATGATCTATTATTGGGGTCTATATATATATCTTGGTACCCGTGGTTTATTTTGGGGTGAAACACCAAGCCTAAGCCCCAACCCTACACCTTCTAAACGTAACATATTCAATGTAAAGTGCTTTTTTAGTGTACGGAAAGATTCCGGTACTGTCGCTTTAATCGGAGAGGAAGGGCAGAAGTTGCGCCCCCTCTCACTTCCCCTCCCCCCTCCTTCACACGACCCTGAACCCATGCAATCTCTCCAGCTGCCAATGAAATGTGGATTGGAAAAAATTGGGAGAATTCTTTGTTAATGCGGTGTTTTATTTCAATTTTTTTTTTACAATTTTGTACAATCTTATGGCAATATAGCGGCCAAGTGCTTTATTGATTTTAAACCCTATCAGATGTTATACGTGCTACTAGCCTGCTCTCTCGTTGCACTGGATGACTCGGCAACTTAAATTGCAAATTTCTGGACCCACCCCCTTCCCAAACAAAAACAACAACAACAACTAAAAAACAGCAAAGAAACTCGTTCGTAAACATAGTGTTTAACTGATGTTTGCTAATGTAAACACGGTGTATAGCTGATGTAAAATCTGTGTTTAAATGATGTTGGGCTGGCGTAAACATGTGTTTAAATGATGTTGGGCTGATGTAAACACTGTATTTAGCTGATGTTGACTGATGTAAATACGGTGTTTAGCTGATGTTGGCTGATGTAAACACGGTGTTTAGCTGATGTTGGCTGATGTAAACACTGTATTTAGCTGATGTTGACTGATGTAAATACGGTGTTTAGCTGATGTTGGCTGATGTAAATACGGTGTTTAAATGATGTTGGCTGATGTAAACACAGTATTTAACTGATGTTGGCTGATGTAAACACAGTGTTTAAATGATGTTGGCTGATGTAAACACAGTGTTTAAATGATGTTGGCTGATGTAAACACAGTGTTTAAATGATGTTGGCTGATGTAAACACAGTGTTTAAATGATGTTGGCTGATGTAAACACAGTGTTTAAATGATGTTGGCTGATGTAAACACAGTGTTTAAATGATGTTGGCTGATGTAAACACAGTGTTTAACTTATGTTGGCTGATGTAAACACAGTGTTTAACTGATGTGCGGACTGATTGATACGTGAGATGGGCGGTGCGTTCTCAACAAACATGAATATCCATCTCAGTCAACATCCCTGTGGCGTAGTAGGAGTTAGTACCGCCCTGGTCGAGCCAAGAGTTTTGGCCGAAAATGCCGCCATATAAATATAATGCCCATCCATATAAAGAGAAAAGTCTCACCCGAATCCCTCTTTCAACGCGACTGTCTACATCAAATAGTTTTCACAGTCAAGCAGCTGCACGAAATACTATGAATCCATAATAATTTAGTGACTAGTGCATCTTTTTTTTAGTAATTAGCATAATCCTATTTCATTTAAAATTAGAAAAGAAATATTTGTTTTAACCCGCGATTCTTATACTTAATCCCGTTCTGGATACCTGGGGCAGAACAAAAAAACACACTTTCCTTTTGCCCACTCCTCCACTCCCAGCCCCACACACTCTTTCCCTCTCACAAACCTCGGAATAACCTCTAATACGACTCAATGAGTAAAATAATTTCAAAAATCAAAATGCAAATGAAAGTTTAACTATAATCAATTTGACGATTAATCTAAATAATTTACCAAGCGTTTCAACAACCTTTACAAAAAGTAGGATAATTACTCAGCAGGCGCTCAAAGAAATCTGACGTTTTCTATGGACAATTCTCAGCAATAGTTTAAAGATACACAACGTTTTCTACTATCAATTATTTCTAATGCGATCTATGACATTCGTAAAGTGATAGCAGATTTTTTGTTAAATGCCTCGTCTCACATCAGATCAATGAGAAACTTAATTCACTAAGTCCATTAAAAAAAAAAAACTGTTATTTATTTGCTTGGGGATTAGTTGGACTACCGCTCTGAAATTATCTTCGTCCAAATACGCTGTTGGGAACGCAACAACAACACACACAAAAACTATTTTAAAAAAAGCTTCTTTACCAACTTCCATGTTGCAGGATGGCGAAATAAAATATTGTGGGTGGCCGATACTCTTGTAACAGTGTCTTAGAGCTTGCCCTCCGTTCAACCTCATGTTTGGCAGAACAGGCCCCTTCCCCCACTTGACCTACTGCTTCCAGCTTGAAAATGTGTTTATCGCTAAATTGTAATCTCCGTTTTAAAATCATCAAACTAATATGACTCATGTCTAACACAGTGGTTCCCATCCTTTTTTTTTCTGCCGTACCCTGGGACTTTTCATTTATTATGAATCGATCCCCCCCCCCTCTTTCCTTTTGCCAGGCCACCAACCCACTCAACCCTTAAAACGTATTAAATATAGATTATCTAAATAAAATAAAATACGAAAAGCTAATTTAAACTTCAACGCCTCGTCCAAAGTATCTGTTGCTTTATTTTTTTTTATTTTCTTATTTATTTATTATTATTTATTTATTTTTATTTTTTTTTTGGGGGGGGGGGCATTTTCTTAAATAAAATAAAATATGAAAACCTAATTTAAACTTCAACGCCTGGTCCAAAGTATTTTTTTCTTTATTTTTTTTTATTTTCTTATTTATTTATTATTATTTATTTATTTTTATTTTTTTTTTGGGGGGGGGGGGCATTTTCAACAGAGATTATGTCAAGTCATTTTTCAATTTCTGCAAGATCTATTTCCATTGATTACATTTCAAATGCAGCATCTTTGAAGTTTATAGTTGGATCTTGAAGTAGCTTTTCAACACTGTCAATTTTGCCTTGGATGGAGTACCGGAAGAACCATAGTCTATTTCAATGGAGGATTTTTGCCATCAAGCCGTCTTGTGTCATTTTGCCTAATTTAAATCGTATGTTTGTTGTTGTTTCCCCCCCCCCCCCCCAAGAAGACCAACTATTCCATCAAGTCCATCCTATAATGGCATTAACTGCTTCCACTCTAGCGCCCCAGTGGGTTTCATGTTCATGTATGAATTCAATGGGGAAAGCATTTTGAAAAATCCTTTATATTAAATTCGCTTTCGTTCGTGTATTTTTGGCTGGCAAAATCTTCGGTCGGCTAATTGATTAACTTCCCGTCAACCTATCGAGCTGAAACTTGGCACATAGACTCGTTACCAATAATAACACGATCACATTCTATCAAATTTTTGCTGAAATCAGATTAAGCAAAGAAAGGAAGTTTGCGATTATCCGCCTTTATGACATTTATAATTTGAAACAATTTTAAATCATTATTTGACGACCCAAATAGTCTGGCACCCGGGATGTCTGCTCCCCTCTGCCCCCTTCCCAGTTACACTTACGTACATTTTATTACATGCTATTCTTTGGTTTCCTACAGTTATTACCTTATTTCAATGGGAACTAACTGTCTAAACCAATGTTAAAAACAAAACAATAGTAGCTTCCCTTTAATAATTCCTTGACAATTCATTTTGTAATTTGTTTATGGCCTTAATGGCGGTCGTTGCCACATAGCAACCAGGTAGTTGCGCCTTGATACATGTAATATAATCCTTTAGATTGTCCTTTCATAATTATTGGAATATTCTTAAATTTGAAATTATTTTATAATAAACCGAATTTAAATGTAATATAAATTTAATTAGCACATCATTATACAGAGTAGATAGTTTTTACCCCCCAATATTGGTGCGGATTAAAATATTAAAAAGTGGTGCGAAAGAAGATGTTTTGGCCAAGTGTTAAAAGTTAAAATTTGAGGTTTATGAAAATATTGAGTCGACCTAATAGTATGTACGTTTGTTAAAATTAATTGTTTGTCATGGATGACCCAAGAATTGAATGGGTTAAGGATCGAGTTTATATTGGTTTGGACATTAAAGAAAATGAAGTTTTTGATGAACTTTTGGAGCGAGAAGATGGAGAATTCGAGCGTAGGTTAGGAAAATACCTCAACGATACCCCAGAGCAAGGCGAATCGTCCATTCTGTTTTACAAGATTATTAGAGAAGAAGAGGAAGAAGTAGAGGTTGAATGTGGTAAATATAGAATAAAATTGTCTTTAAGTTTAATTTACTTTTGAATTATTTTAAAAAATAATTAGCCTCATCTTAAGTCTTAAGCCTAGGCCTTAACTAATAAGCCCTAAGCTATTGACTATATATAGACTATTATTAATAATAAGACACTATACAGCTAATCACTATAGTATAGACTATAGTATAAATAGTAATAGTATGATATTATTTGGTTTAAAAAACACGCAGTGGCGGGTGTGGTTTTCTCCTCAGCTCCTGGGGAGCTCTGCCCCCTGGAGCCCCACCCTTCCGGGGCCCCCTACCTACGCCTCATGCCTAGGGCCCCCAAAATCCTATGAATGGCTCAGATGCCAGTAGTATTAGAATTTGCTCAGTTACTTGCCATGTTTGGTTGAAAAAGAGTGTTTAAGTTTTGATAGTTCTTTCACTTTCATGCTGAAGACTTCTCTGACCCTGTCAATCCAATTCATTCCTTGTCTGTTTTAATTTTACGGGTGCATTTGTTCTTTCTTGTTGTTCTTGTTATACTTATAGCATCATTGAGAAGCATACTTTCCCCACAACTCTGCATATTCAGTGGCATAGGCCTTGGCCAATGTTAATTAAATCTCATTCAGAACTAAATCCTAAAAGTGCAATCGTTTTACAACCACACATCTCAGTCATAAAATGTTAAAATACCAAAAGTGCCGCCAAGGGCAGTCATCCCCTTGCACCCCACCCCCCCCCCCCCCCCTCCCCCACCCCCAGTGATTCTAATTTAAAATTGGGTCTTAAATACATAAATTCCTCTTCAGTCATTTTGTCTTTTTTTATTCTCTCACTCAAAGAGCATTCATATCTGTAATATTAATGTGTAAAATTATTACACCATCACTGATGGTAATTCCAATACTTTCACAGCTGCTAGACAGTTTCCTTTTGTTATATACTTTCACTGATCGTACTTGTTTAATCCATCTATCCCTGTGGCACAACAGCCCATGTAGAGCTTTGGCCTGCCTTATCACATCCTTACACTCAGACCAAACTGATGCTTTTCTTTTCCATGCTTGGATTCCCACCTGCTGTATATTTTTTTCCACATCATCCATCCATCTAAGCCTAGGTCTGCCTTTGAGCCATTTTCCTCTGGGGTTTTGGTGATGTACCTTCGTCACTCCTCTGTCATTTCACATTCTTTCTAAGTGTCCCACCTAGCATAGCCTGCCCTTTTTTTTTTCCTGATACTAGCCTGGGATCCTGATGTAGACCATACAATTCCTGGTTGGTTTGTAATCTCCATCCATATTCATCTTTTGTTGGTCCGTATATTTTCAGGATAACTTTTCTCTCCCAAATGTTTAATGGGTTTTCTGCATTTTTTGTTAGGGTCCAAGTTTCACTTGCATGCTTGTTTAAGGCATAATGATAAGTTGAAGTATTGACAGCATGAAGTCAATCATATTTATGCTGGGGGAAAATGTTGTTCAGATTTCTTTACGTAGAAACATTTTGCAGAGCCAGAAATTCCTGATATAAAAGAAGATGAGGAGGCTGGAGATGGATCTGATGAAGACGAGGTGGAAGATGAAGTGCAAGCATTGCCTACGTCAGAACCTGATGCAGACAGAGAGGAAACAACACCTTCTGAGAAAAAAGGTATGTCAACACATGATCGTAACGTGCTGCTGGAATGAAAAAAAAGAAAATGGTTTCTTAAAAAATATTTTATTTCTAAACATTTTACTCTTTTTTTAATGATTTAAAATCTATATGTATGGGTGTACTTTCCTTAAATTGACAAATGCTAGTTACACAAATCAAGATAAGCAAAGCTTGAATTTTGTGATATTCTTTGATCAATTTTTATAGAGATGTGTTTTTTTAATTTTTTTATTTTGCAATGAGACCTTTTGATTATTTTAGGTAAAACAAAGAAAAAAAAGAATGCCAAAGACAAAAATGAAGACAAAGCACCTACACCTTTAACACCAGCTTCTCAACCAGAACAACATGAAAATAAAAATGAGACAGAGGACAAAGCTGGGAATGGGGAGGAGGCAGGGACAGAGGAAGGAGAAGTTGTGGAAACAGCTCCTAAAACTGTAATATTAAATTGAAAACTTCACTTTCAAAATAAAGTTTTTAAATTAACATTTACTAGTGTTCAACATTAAAGACACATGTCTGTCATTGCGTAGGTTTTTATAGCTCTTCAAGGGACTTAAAAGTTTTTCATGATTTCCACTTCAAATAGAGATGTTAAAACATAATATCTTATTAATTGCAACTTACAATTCTGGTAATAATATAATTTGCATTATTTGGGATCTGAGACCTGTGTCAGTTAGCTTTTATATTTTTATAAGTCAATCTAAACTTGTTAATTTCAGCTTTCATCTCACTATGGTTATGTATTTCTTTCAAATTACAATATTTAATGTTTACAAAATGTATTTCTTATTAATTAATTGAAGCTTTAAAACAATTAGAATATTCTTTCATCAACCTTGGAAATTAATGTTTTTTATACAGAAAGTGATCATCCAAAAAGTTAATCGCACTTACTTGTATCTGTGCTATGAACATCTGCCTGAAGAACACAGTGATTCAATGTGCATATATTTCATGCGTAACACAACTGGAATGGTTCCATTACCAGCAACCCTATCAGAGGCTCAAGAAATTCTTCCATCCTATTTGGAATATGGACTTCTCAATGGACATTCTCTCATTATGTTGGAGCAAATTATAACTCAGGTAAGCTGAATTTATATACATATGGGAGAAATTCCCTATCAGAGGCTGAAGAAATTCTTCCATCCTATTTAGAATATGGACTTCTCTTATTATGTTGGAGCAAATTATAAATAACTCAGGTAAGGTGAATTTATATACATAGGGGAGAGAAGTATAACTTAGGGTAAAGTATTAAAGCATCCAGTAGATCAGAATATTTGATAGATTTTTAACCACATAGTGAGTCAATTCCGCTAGGTTTTAATGAATTATGTTAAACGGTTACAAGAATTCCAGTTATCAGTTTTGAAACTGATAAGTGGTTGCTGATTTTTAAGAAATGATAATGGATTTATTTATTTATATTTTTTAAGATTTTTTTTTCAAATCCAGACTTTTAAAAATAATTATTATGTAAATAAAAGTCTTAAAACAAATACATACAATATGGTGATATAAAATAAATCAATTGCTTGTAACAACTGCATAAAAATGAGAGACGCTTTGACTGATTTAACTTGATCACGTAAATTAAAATTGAATAAAATTTTTTACTAAATCTAATTTCACAGAAAATAAAATGTATATTTAAATAGACAATTTAAAATCAAAGACATAGACTATACTTTAATAAGAGCTTAATAAAATTAGAAAACTAATCATTTTTAAAAAAAGGTGTTCATTCATTTTCTTTTAGGTGTACATGCCATTGCTTTCATACAACCAACACAAAAATAGTGGTACTGAATCAGGGACCGCCACAAAGGCACAGTCTCGTTCTGCTAGTCGAGTAGATACCAGTTCATCCATAGGTAAAGAGGAGAGTAAGCAGCAGGGGGTGGTGGTGGAGTCAAAATCAAAAGCATTACTCAGAGATGAATTTCTAATCAACATGCAGAAGTTTGCCGATGCAATAGCAAGAACCTTACAACAAATTGAAGGAGAGGTGAGAGTAGTTTTTTTTTTAAATAATAAAATGTCTTTTATTATTTAATACAAATTCACATAACAATAAATAATTAAATAACATGTTGGTACATTTTCATTAAAAAAAAATATGTTTAAGTTAATAAAATTGTGGTAATCTATATACAAATTAAATGAGATCTACATAGAATCAAAAGTGTGATGTAAATATGCCAATTTAAAATTTAAAAAATCTGCAATTGTTTAATTTAAGAATCATTTATTCTCTAAGCAAATTTAAAAATCATTTATTCTTGAAGCAAATTTAATAATCATTTATTCTTTAAGCAAATTTAAAAATAAACAAATCCAGTATTAATTGTTTTTATAGGTTCGTCTGGAAGTGCCAGATTTAGAAATCCCAGATAATATTGAAGAGGCTCTTAAAGATGAAGCTCTAGTTGAGACAATTCATGAAAAGTGCCTTGACTGGCAAAGGCAGATACAATTCGCCCTAGAGAGCTTGCAGCAGAGGAAACGTCAAGGCAATGGACCATTGTCAGAAATTGACTACTGGCGAGAGAGAAATGCTGCACTGAGTGCTCTGTCTGAACAGTTGAAGATTCCAAAGGTATTTGGTATAGCCAGCATTGTGGCTTTTAATTTTAACTTAGGGAATTATATTTCTGGGACTGATTAAAGAATAATTAATTTTAATAAATAATAATCATCATTTTTTAAAAATTACATTTTTCTCTAGTTGTTTTTATTTTGTAAAAATTTTATTTTATTTTCCCATAATTCTAACTTAAATCAATAAAGAGTCTTATTTTTTTTTAGAAATTTCATTTTTTTGTAAAATTGCTTTCATCAGAAATTGTGATTCATTATCACCCAACATTTATTTAACATGTACCTGCGAATTCCACACTATCGTCACATTGTGATGGTCGGATTCCAGCACAAAAAAAAAACCTCTACAGTCATAGCTTAATTTGCATCAGCCTAAGTTACCTGGCTATTAACTTGTGTTCACAACCCCTGTTATCATAATGGCTATCCCTGAAATTTATTCTGTTCTAATTTGTAAATAAATGTTAACAGATATTTTTTTAACTGGACAGTATATAATGGAACACAGATATTAGTAGTTTGTTGAATTTTAAAAAAATAATTTTTTGTTTCTTGTCAAGGTCATCCGAATGATTGAAATCCATATAGCAGCCGATGGTGACTTTGAGGACACCCAGTCTGAACTGAACAAATTCTATGTAGAAGCCAAGGACAATGTGAGATTCTTATCTACACTGGAGAGACACTTCAAGAATATCACATATGGCACAACATTCCAGGTCGGTCCATTCTAAGATTCCATCTCATGTCATTATAAAATAGGTTGCTACCTTCCAACTCAAGCCATTCTAAAATATGTTGTTACATTCCAACTTAGATCATTCTTTAAATATTTAACATTCATCCAATTTTCAAATTCATTACTGAATTCCAATTCATTTAATTCTAATAAATTCATGTTTTGCCAACATGAGCGATCAGTAATAGACAAGTCTTATTTTATTTTATAAGGGAATTTGGGATGTCTGGCTTACTTGGCTCTCATCATTAAATGAGAGGTACAGGCCTGCATGTAATACATGCTGATGGAAATAATTCAGACCAGTAATGATATGGCAATGAATAAACTTCTATGAATATATCATATCATAACTTCTGGCAGAAACTAAATTTGCTGTTCAAATAAATAAAAGTACTGAAATAAAAAAATTTTCTTCTCAAGTTAGAGAGGTTGTTAAATGTTATGTTGAATTTCATTGGTCAGGTGGTGACTGAGACCATCCCATCAATGATGAATGCATTGAGAATGGTGTGGATCATCTCTCGGCACTACAACAAAGATGAGAGGATGGTGCCCCTGATGGAAAGGATTGCTTGGGAGCTGGCCGAGCGGGTCGCTCGGGTCATCAATGTACAGGAACTATATGAGTGAGTTTTACTTTACTAGATAATGAACGGACACATCAACGAAAGACCTCAAGTTTTTGTTATCGTTGAACTCACATAGCATGAGACTACCTGTTATTATAATTTATAAAGAAAACCCCCCTCTTCAAACAGCAATGAAACTAATGTTTACCTTTTTATTTTAGCTCTATGAATATCTATGGTTTATTGGGCATTATTCTATTGAAAAAGACAATTACTTGAGGTAATGCTAACCACAACAGAAATAAATTTCATAGATAGTGAAAGTTGATTTCTAACCTACATGTACTAATAACTTTATAACAATCATAGAGCATGGGTAGAAAATTAAAACATTTGAGACTCAAAGTGCTAAAGACTAATATATCTGTTTGTGCGATGATTTCATACAGAGACCAGTAATTATTGTTTTTGACTGTAATAAATTTGGTTAAAAATTATGATAAAGGTTTTTGTGGGCAAAATAATGCAGACAGCATATCTAAATAAATTAAATTTCTTCATATCTCCTTAAGGGTTTTGAAAAACTTTACTGGCAAGGGCTTTTGCTGAGTTCAATATTGAATCTATCAAAATATATACACAAAGACTCATATGCAGATGGCAACCAATTGTTTAATTAAACAATATTTTTAGCTAGAAACTCAATGTGGCTTTTAGAAATCATGTGCAAAATAAATATTTCAGCCTCCCCCCAGAAGAAGTGAAGCAGAGAACATCAGAGGCTGCAAAAATGCTGACAACTTGGCAAGATGTCTATCTGGAGGTGCGCCAGAAAATTGAAAATTCAGGTCGAGATCAACGCTGGGAATTTGACAGGAAGAAACTGTTTGAACGTACAGACTACATGAAAACCATTTGTCTAGAGCTCCATGAGATTGCACAGGTTAGGTTTTGTTACCAGATAATAATTGAACTACATAGGAGACCTCCATAGTTTTTTTAATGTGTTTTGTTACTTATTCTGCTTCTATTTGTTTTGTTTTTTTGCTGATGAACGCTCTGAGTCGAAACGTCCAAATCTTTTGTCATTTTGTTACCAACCAGAGTAACTGTCAAAGATATGCCTTTAAGGAGTTAGGATGTCTTGGTTCATTTTTAAAATACTTTATTCATCAAAAGCATTTAAATTATAGCACAATACACATTTTGGTCAAAGATAACATACAAATCATTTTGTCAGAGTTATTTAATTTTTTAAAACTTAGATGGCTACAAATATGTTTTTTTTAAATTATATATATCTTAGTTATTCATGAACTGACTATACTGCTAACATCTTGATTTATAAATTAGACCCTTTACAGATACATTTTATGATGAAGATTTATTTCTTCTATAGTAATGGTTTTCCTATCTTGCTCATCGCTTTTACCAGATTTATTTCAGTCATTCTAAAAAGAATTTGTTTTTTCTTTAGGTTCTTGAAGAGTTTTACAATATCTTTGGCCCGGAACTGAAAGCTGTCACTGGGGATCCTGGTCGCATAGAGGAAGTCATACTCAGGGTGGATCAGCTGGTCGACCCAATTAAACAGGTGAATATGGGGGGGGGGGGGGGGGGGGAATTCACCAAGTAAAACAGGGTTTTATTAAACAGTCTCTCAGCTAAATTAAGGGATGAACTTTTTTACCCAAAAATTTGGAGCTTATTTTTATTTTTTAAAGTGGGTGAGGGGGGGGGGGGGGGGGGGGGGAATTCACCAAGTCAAACAGGGTTTTATTAAACAGTCTCTCAGCTTAATTAAGGGATGAACTTTGTTACCCAAAAAGTTGGAGTCTATTTTTATTTTTCCTAATGGTTAATATTGTTTCATGTTTTTTCAGATAACATTTGATGCATTTAGCCTTAAAGATGGCCAGCAGTGGAAAAGATTAATAACCAATTTCCACAAAGAAGTTACAGAGATTGAAAATGAGGCTAAGGCATTTATTGATGAATCCTTCAAATCTCTCAGATCAGCTGAAGGTGCATTTGACATGCTGCTTAATTTTAAACATCTGAGGTCAAGAGAAGCTATAAATAACCAAATGATGCAAAAGTTCAAAGATATCTTAGTGCAATATGGCAAAGAGGCAAGTGCTGGTTTGTTTTTTTTTTAGTTATTTGCCCCCACCACTTTTCTATTTTCTAATAAATATTTATTTGTTTAAATCACTGGTAAATGACACCAAGTAAAAGGAACTTTTCTTTATTTTGTGACATCATCACAGCCCTGTCCTTGAATTAGGAGCTAGTTTAAAGTTATAAGTTTTTAGGGCTGGTCCTTATATTCATTATCTTGCTTATTAATTGTATAGGCTGTAAGCTACTTTTTACTTATCCATAGCACAAATAAGACATGTGTATTCAGGGGCAATAAATAAATAGCAGAGCTTCAACCTTTAGAGTTTTACATTTAAACTTTAAAGTTTCCTAACCCCTCTGGAGCAGAAGTGCAGTTTGTACTATCAACTCACTAAAAACAGTTGACATGTTGCTTCGTGAAAATGTAAACCATTATTTTTTTGTTGCTTCAAGCATGTTTCTTGAGGGAATAATTTATTACCCAACAAAGCTTCAAAAAGCTATTAACAATTGCTAACATGCTTCAGTATGGATTCTAAGAATAAAATATAATTGTTTAAGAAAAACTTTCACTTTGTGTGTTCTTTTTTGTTGATGTGATATAATAATTAGAGACCTGAAGACAGTGGCATTGCACAGAATCAGTTAAAAAACTGTTACATTATTTGATAATAAGTGAGGAAGGGGGGTGGGGAATAGGCAGTCAGGTTAGGTATAAGAAAAATATGTGAAACAAGGTATAGGAAAACCTGAAAAAAAGACACAACTACATTCCTCTTGCTGTCCTCCAGGACACTTCTTTTCAGCTAAGTGTTTATTTTTAATTTTTATATTAGTGTTACTTGATTGTTCGTTGAATAAGACTTCTTGGCGACATATTCATTGTTTCATTGTGTCCCTTTTTCAGGTTTTCCCATACCTTGTTTCACACATTTCCTTATATTTATTTGCACTGAAACATTAACTTTTCAACTTTCAGGTGGACACGATGGATCAACTTTTCAAAGAATTCAAAGATGGTCCACCCCTCAACAAAAACTATCCCCCCATAGCAGGTTCAATATTCTGGACAAGATCATTATTCCATCGCATCAAACACACTGTAATCAGATTTCAAACTTTGGAAGAGATGATGGTGACAGATATGGGGAAAACAGTAAGTTAATGTTGTGAATTTACATTAAATTCATAAAACAAGTGGCATGGGGGGTGGGGAGGAGAGGGAGACAAAATAACAAACTTTCTTATTTGACTTATTTTTGTAAACTGACTGCTGCTTTAGGCTATGGCCACCTAATGTATCTTCTGTCTGTCAACTGCTTCTGTGGGAGTTGTCTACAGACCCTTCTCTTATTGTTCTGCAACTGGTCATTTTGGACTGTACTATGCGCTGTCATGGGAAATTTAATTTTTTTGTTGGCTTTTCAAGAGATGTTCGATAAAAATGAAGTAAAATTTGTTGATTTTGAGCTTCCAAAATGTTAAGAAAAACAAGCAAAATTTGGAACCGCAACACTGTTAGTCAGTTAAAGCATTTGCTTATTTATGTCAACCTCACCAAATAATGAGAAAAACAACTTGATTATTTTGAACAAGGATTATTGGGCAATGTTGAAAGGAATATGGAAAATCTCTAACTAATGAATAAAACTGAAGAAATTTGAAATAAAAATTGGTTACAAAGGTATAAATATCATTTTATTTGATCTCAACCAAGTTATTTTTGTTTGCTGAACTTGTAGACCAGGTCCAAGTACCTTTCAGTAGCCAGAAATATGCGGGCATTTGAGGACTCAAAGTATGAACTGTGGAAAGAAAATGTGGAGTCCACTTTGCCAGGACTACTTAAAAGGAACCTTCTAGTCAAACGAACTTCCCAGGTTTCACCAATAGCTCAACAAGCCTCCATAGCCATGTCAGCCTTAGGGGAGACAACAGATGACAGGAACTCTGTGGGAGAGATTCAAGGTAGATGAAATGTGGTTTAATAGATAATTTTATTGCATACCCTTACTAACAGATCAAGCTGTTAATTCTTCGTAACTAAATTCAGACAATGATAAAAAACAATTTATTCACAAAAATTAAAGTACAGCTAGGTCTATTAAAGAAATTTTAAATAAATATTCTTAGAAAATGTACTTTGTACTTATTTTTAATGGATGAAAATATAGTTTCCACATAGGCTAAACTTACCGTTTATTTTTCTATACTACTTGAAAGATTTTAATTTTTATGTTTCATTAAAATTATGACAAAAGATAAAAATGTGTTTTCCTCTTTCAATGCCAATAATTCATACATCTAGATAATTTGTCTTTATAAAGTTTTTTTAAAATTTTAAAGCAATTTCAGTTGCATTTAAAATTGACAAGAAAAGTGAATGTGTTTGAATCATATCATTTGTATAACATTGACATTGTTTTTATCTGCTTGTTTAGTCTGTAATTTATAGCTACATAAATCTGGAAAGGTAGTCCTTGTTGAGGTTTTCCATACATGTTATGCATCTGTTATGTTATATACATTAGGAATCATGAAAGAAAAAAATGCACCAACTGAGATGGCTTTGCAGTGTAAGTTTTATTTAGCTGATAAGTTTTTTATTATTTTTTAAAACTTTATTTCATCTCATTAGCAAAATTACATCTTTTCAGCTACTCAAAATTAGACATTCTTAAATGATTTTTTTACATTTTTAAAATATTTTTAATAGCTTTCTTGACATCATTTTTTTCTAGTTTAAATTTTAAAATAATATATTAATTTCTAATACCTTCCTTAAATCTGGAGATTTTACTATTTAGTCAAATATAAATAGAAGCCTTTACCTATTCACTTAAATATGAATTTGAATGACATTTTGGAATTCAGAAACAAGGTAAAGATTCATATGAGCCCCAAAAAGCATCTGTTGCTGTCTCATCTTCTTAAATTTTTAGATTTGACTTGTACGCTATTGTCATTTACAGTGTTGATGTCTGGTGACTGACCTCATGAGGAAACACCTGCTAATACATTTGTATTAATTTTTTAATGTGCCAATCTGTTTCAATTGTAGCATACCTTTTGGAGAATACAGATAGTTCATTTCATTTACTTTTTGGTAGTGTTAGAATATTCCATGCATCAAGAATTCTAACAAATATATTTATTTCCTTGATCTCAAATTTCTTTTTAATTTTTCAAAGGGATTTTTTCTTACTTCTTAGATCTCTACAAATTTATATGAATTTTTATTACATTTAGAGGTCAAAGAGCTCTTTTAAAATGTACTAATATATGAAATATTAAAGTTAAATAAATAGATTTAAAAATATATTTAAATCTATAGTTTATTCCAATCTCATATTTAATATCTCTTTAGTTTCTTATTTTGTTTAGGTTTTAAACTTTAAATGCTAAAAATTATCCTGTCATACTTGAATTTTAAGAACTACAAAGTCCTCTTTCTTAAATTTTATACAAATGTAAAGAATTTTTCACTGATTTATTATAATTTTTTAAAATTTTCATCATTGAAATTAGATTACATTAGAAGAAATTTGAAAAAGAAGAATTGTAAAACAATATTCAATGATTTTGAGCATTTAACATCTAAGGGTTAGACAAATACTTTATTAGTATTCTTTAATTTTCTTTTTTGGTCTTATCAAGAGCAAAATTAAAAAGTAAAGTATGTCTAATTATTTTGAACAATTTATATTTAATATCTCAGGGCAGATATAAAAATGTTTAAGAACTAAGATCTATTGATTTATTTTAAATTCTGAAAGATTTTATTCACAACCTATTCAACCAACAAAAAACATAATGGATCTCAAAATAATAATATTATATGAGCAGGCCATTGAACATTTCTAAAACATTAATTGGAAATCAGTATTAGCAATAATCATTCTTACTAGTCAAAATATACTTGACTTCTGCTACCAAGTAGGCTTATATCTCTACATGCAATATTACTTATGATTGCTAAAAACATAATGATGCAAAAAAAAAAATTAATTATGAGGCTTTCTCCACACCTAATTAGGATTGTCTAGAATAAGAGATTAAATTTTTTTTAAATTCTTTTATTTTATTTAATGATATTGTTTAGCTCAAATGAACAGCATTTGTTTATATTAAAATTCAGTTTTATGAAAGAACATCATTTGATTATAATACTTTTATGTACAACTAAAATAACAATCTGTTGTTATTACTCAAGCATATCTCTTGCATTTCCATTACAAATATTAATATATCTTATTGCATTAAAATATGTAGACCTATGTAAAGTGTGGTTTAAGGACACAACCAGCAAAGAAATTATTATTTTTTGGGGGGTTTGCAGCCGTAGGTAAATTTCTACAGTTTTAAAGTTTTAGCTTACATATGATTATTATATCCTTGATTTTAGAAGAAAAATCTGTCATTTCCCCCTGAAGATTTCTTCATTCCATTTCAGATCCAGAAATCAGAATGAAGCAACTGTAATATATTCTACGTGATACACCACTGTCCACATTAATTAGACTCTGAAAGTTGTTTTTGTGTGTTTACAACCTGGATCAAAAAATTAATGTCCAGTCATTTGCATTTTATGTATGTGAGTCAGTTGTTGAGGTCTAAAGAAAATGGATGTCAATTAAATATTTCAATCTTCAACATGATCTAAATGACGCTATATCAGCATCTAGGAACTGATATTTTAAAATATTAATTCTTGCCATCTGCTCAACCAGTAATGAACACAGAGGCAAAATATGTGGTGGACTTTGACCTTAGACTGGCAGAAATCATAGCAGAAACCAAATATGTTGAATCACTTGGCTTCACAGTCCCAGAACTTGCAAGAAATGTTGCTTTACAGGTATGTTGTTATCTAAATAGTTACATTGCTGAAAAGTTTCTGATTTGAAAAAAAGGGAAGTCTTACATTTGATTAAATTGTTAACTTTTATTTTCATTAGGAAGAAAAGTATATTCGGTATGTTGATGGATTGTCCCGTATGTTGCATCGCTACCATGCTGTACTTGCTTCTCTTGACTATGCAGAGGTACGTACTGACAGACATATTTAAAATCAGTTTGAATTTCTACAACTGTACTCAATATTTTACAGTTTTTCATTTTTGGAATAAATTCTGTTTGGTTAAGTCCAGATCAAAATAAGATCCGTAGAATTAACCTATTTACTTTACATTATAAAATTAACTAATTATTTTTTCTTAATACACTGTTTTATTTTCTTTATTCATTGAATATTGCAGCATTTTAAAAAAAATTTGTTCACAGGCCACTCTTCTTGAAGACCACAAAAGAGATTTAAGAAGAATGCTTCGACCAGGTTCGAAACGTCTGAACTGGAATTCTCTGGGCATCAACGACTACATTGCTAAATGTGACTCGGTCAGTATCATATTTATTGTTGCAGTTTAATTAATTGGGGTCAGATATTGATATTTAGTCTTACATAAGTCATGTAGTATATAAAGAAATCACGGGGCTAACTCTAATTTTCTTTTTACAGAAAATGTAAAAAAACTCCTAAATCTTTAATTTATAATAGAAAGAGAAGTGGCTAAAAATTATATTTAATAAAATCGAGAAAAATAAATGAGGTTATTACATATTTTTACAGGCTATTGCCAAATTTGAGTCCTTGGTGCATCAAATTCAGAAAAATGCCAGAGACATCAACCAACGCTTGAGTATTATTGAACATGCCAACCTGTTCAAGACACCAAAACCAAAGTATCCAGGACATTTACATTCCTGCAAGGTAAAGCTCATGCACAAAAAAGTAACAAGACTCAGGCATGTGAAGTGTCATTAGACCTGCTAATCTCAAAGCAAATATTTTAATTATTGCTTTTTTTAGAATATATTTATAAATAGTTGAGCTCTTTACAGAAGAAAACAGAAAGTAACTGAACTCATCGTGGATTTAGTTCAGATGTCTAATAGCCTATCTTAAACTTCATTTTGGAATACATTTTTTAACATTTCATTTTTATTTCAGAGCTTTTATTGTACGGTTTAATTATTTTAATTTTCCATTATACTACTTTCTTTTTTTAGGAATATTTTGAATATATTGAACAAGAAAGAGTCAAGGACCTGGAGATTATGGCCCGCAAATATAGAGCCATTGGACCTCTGTTAACAAAAATGGAGGGTTTGGTTGTTCACACCAACACAGGCCGCTCCCCAAAGATGGCCCGATACTATGCATTCTGGGAGAGAAAAGTCTTTGAAGCCCTCACTAAGGCAAGAATTAGTTAATAAAATTTTTCATACAACATCAGCTTTTTTTTCTTTTGCATATTTCCTCATCATATATCAAGACTGCGTTTAATTGTGATATTGAAACCAAATACACATTTTCAATTAATTTTACTTTTAGAAGCCATATTACTCACTACTTTAATGGAGGATATGGAGCAGGGAATGTGAACCAACAAGATTAGTCTGTTTCAAAGTTTATAGAAAGATAAATGAAATCTCTATTGATGTTTATTATAAATTTTGTAATTTATATTGAAAGAAATTTTGTGAATTTAGTTAGATTCAATAACTTATAATGGAATTTTTATTATTGGAGTAGTAAGCAGCTGTTTGTTACAATTTTATTTAATTATTTGATTGTTTGTATTCATAACCAATGTTTCAGATGACCCTCAACAATCTGGCGAAGTTCAGTGCTGCCCTCAAGACCAATATTCCTCTGTTCCAAGTGGAGTCCCTGCTCGCTCCACCTGATGTTGTCTTACATCCTCAAGCCAATGAAGTCTATAAACTTACTGTTCAGTGTGTCAGGGATTGTCTTGAAGGGTTGGTATCTGAGTTTTACTTTTACTGGTTTTAAATTTATTTAATTGAAAAAGCCATTTTGATGCTGTTTGCTAAGAACAGACTTATATCCCCAAGTGTTTAAAAAATTATTTAGAAATCTGATATGTTGTTCTATCTATGGCATTTGTTATGTTGCTGTTTAGTTAGATTTTGTAAAATTTAATAAAATTGTATTTCTTGATAATTTTTTGTAGTAAAAAGTAAATGCTGGTAAGTTGGAAATTGTAATGACCTATTGTCTAATCAATACAAAAAATCTTTGAGTGCAAATAATACAAGATGAGTCAATTTTGAGTGAACTAAAATAATTTGCTTCACATACATTTATTAATGAAATTGCCTCCTAACAGAAATTTGTCTTTATTTGTTAGATCCAAATCTTTTATCCGGTGGCTAAATGGCAGTTGCCAGGAGAGTCAGCCACAGAAAGTTGACGGGGAAGATGAACTTTTTGTGTTCAGTTTCTTCATGGACATGGCCATGAACCAGGACATTATTGAGACCATCCAAAAAGTTCAGAATGACATCAAGGGAACTTTGACTGACCTGAGGAGATTTTTGACCAGGTGGAAGAAATACAGAAATGTTTGGAAAGTTGACAAGGTATACTATTTTTTAAAAAAAACTTTTAACAACAGCAGCAATAGTCAATCTTTATACTAAATATAAAATTTACTTTATCATATGGTAGTTTTTTGATTTAGGCCTACCTTAAATCATAGAAGGGAGAGAAATTCAGACATTGGCTACTCCTTTTTTTATACTTTCTGACACAGACTTAAATTTGCAATCTAGTTACAGCTTAAAAAATATATGGAGCATTGATGACTGGCTTGGATGATTAATTCAAAGATAGCTGTCAAAACCTACATAATTCTAATCACTTCTACAGGCATCCCACTTTTTTTTGGCAACAATAATAATAAAATATTGTTTACATTCACTTTGAGTTTTATAATCTCTTATTTGTGCCAATAATACTTAAATCATGTGGTTTATGAAGCATTTTTATTTTGAAAAAAAAAAATTTTTAACAGAGAAAAGCTACATTTAATATGTGCCGTAACCTTTTTAGAGTGTCGTTTATATTACTTTTTTTTTTTCAATTACATGTACAGCAAGCAATAGCAGAAAAGTGGATGCAGAAGAACCCAAGTTCTGTTGAGTTTGATGACAGACTTCAGTTTTACTACAAAACTATTGAGGACATTAATGCAATGAGTGAATTTCGTGATCAGGATTGTATACGTTTGCATATGTCCTCTCTTGCAAGTGCAGTTAAAGATCATGCTAGGGAATGGATCAAAACTATAGGCAAATTACTTCAGGATTCAGCAAAAGAGATGCTGACAAGCACACATAAGCTCCTTGATGTAAGCTAAATTAGGCATAATTGAATGGGCTTGTCACAAAGGAACTTAATGTCAAAACAGGGGCTTAATATCCATTAATTAGATCCTATTTTTTAAAACTCAATCACCTATGAAGTAAAGAGATGTAAGACTAACATTTCTTTTCATATTTTAAAATACATATTTGCGATCCATTTATGTAACTTTTGATTTCGTCATGTAAGGTAAAGATTTTTTTTTTTAATTGATTTTATTGACAAATAAACTGGAAATTCTGATTTAAGTGTTTAACAATTCAGAATTATATATTAGTCTAATACACCTTTAAAAAACACCTTTAAAATTTCCTAAGGATAAATCTGATGACCTAGAGCAGACTCCGTCGACCTTGGATGACCTCAAATCTGTCCTGTCCACCATCTCTGACATTAAGTCGATGTCACTTGATGTCATGACCAAAATTGCAGAGATACAGGAGAGGTACAGGACCCTGGCCATGTACAATATACCTGTAAGTTTGATCACAGTTTATGTAAGCTTAACACTGTTTACATTGAATTTTTCAGTGACTTCTCCAGAACTTATATATGTATAAATTTCATGTTACCAAGTTTAAATTTTAGAACATATATGCTTTCAATTTTTCTGTTTAATTATATATTAAAGATATATTTTTTTTTTTCCAAGTTTAATGAAGTAAAACCAGCATGTTACATATATTTATTATCATTATCTATAATTACATTTATTAATTACTAATCTATTGTTACATTTATTTATTATTAATCTATTATTACATTATTATTGAAAAAAAGATTGATGAAAAGGAACAAGAACTGCAAACTCAGCTGCCTCAAATTTGGGAAGACCTGGTCCTTAAATCCAAGAATATTGATGCCAGTCTAGTCAAGGTCAAGAGAAAGTTCACAGAGGTTTGTGAGAAAACATTGTTCCAGATGTGAAACCGATTTGTTTTTTGTTTAAAAACTTACAAAGAATCGACTACTCTCAAATAAACACTAGAACCTAAAAGGCATTCTTAAAATGTAAAATATTTGTTTTGTTTAATCTGTTTTTTAATCAAGTTTTACATATGCTGCAAAACTATTAAATGTCATATGTGATATTTTTTCTTTCTGCTGTTGGGTTTATTTTTTCTTAATGAATTTTATAATACGAACGTAAAATAGGCTTATAGTTTTAATTATTCAATGTATTTGAGATGCAACCTATCAATAAAATAACAAACTTGCTATTTAGTTTATATGAAACTGAGCCATAAACATATTTTTATTCTTAAATTAGATCACACAAGATCAAATATCTGAATTTAAAACAGCCCTTACAGACTTTTCAGACAGATTTTTGTTGGAAGGTCCTGGAGCTGTTGGGGAAGATTTGGATAAAGGTCTGTTGATTATTGAAACATTTCTATTACCAAACTTTTATAAATGAAAAGCTTTAGTTATAAGAAACATTTAAAAAAATTAAAATTGAGATTGTTTTGGAAAGATCATTTGAAATCTTGACACTCTGAAAAAAAATCATTTCTAATCTTACTATTTTCAATGTGGGTTAATTTTATGGCAGTAAATTTTAAATAAAATAGTTCAACTCAAAGTGTAGAAATGTTTCAATTGTTAAGAATATGTTTTAAAGTAGAAGAGTTATTTTTATCTTTAATCAATAAAGTAAAATGTTTTCTTAAAATAGCTTGAAAGCACTCCTTAATTTATTGACCAGTAGTAGTGTGGCAAGTGAAAAGTCATAAATAATTAGATGACTCACAGAGGAAAAATTTATTTTTATGCACCGCAGGTGTTGAGCTGCTGAAGCTTTACAAAGAGGAAGTCCATGAGCTGGAGACCAACAAACAAGAACTTACCAATGCTGAAAAACTCTTTGAGCTGCCCATCACTATGTATCCAGAACTGTTGAAAATCCAGAAAGAGATGTCTGGGCTGGAATCTATTTACCAGCTTTATGCAGAACAGAAGGTAGCTAATGGACAAAAGATTCTTCTTTTGAGATAGGATAATATACTATCTAGGGATATTGAAATAAGCTAATGTATATGTATGGGGATTTTTTTATAAAGAGCTTAGTTATGATATATAAGTGGGCATTTTGTGATATAGAAATAAAGGAAGATATCCTATAATTTGGGTCAACTTATGGTTTAGTGGTAAGATATCATATATTACATATATAATATGGGCCTACTTATAAAAAAAGTAAGACATCATTATACATATCTTTATATGGCGATCTTCTGATAAAAGAAAGTAAAAATTAAAATTCATAGCACTCAGTTATAAGATCAAATTATATCTTTCCTGGTAGTTTAAAATGGTATATTTTGTATAATTGTAGTAGAGCGGTGGTTGTTTAGGGTTGCCTTAGGTGACAACGCCAAAACACTGTAGTAGTGTAAATTGACCCTGCTCGCAGCGCCAAAAACTGTAGCCGAGTGGATGACGTTTAGCTTACAGTTTTATAAATAAGATCAAAATCAAAATGAAACAATCAGGTCTTGAGGACTATAGCTTTTTAATTAATGCTCTCCTATGATGAAAACAAGAAAACAGGACACTATGAACTATGGAGAAGAAGCCTATGAAGAAAAAGGCTTCTATGAAGAAAAAGGGCTTCTATGAAGAAAAAGGACAATATCTGAAAATAAACAAATAGTACAGGTCAACAATGTCCTGACTAACTACTAACATAGCTAAAAATAAACATGTTACATAACCACGTAATTACAGGTGGCGACAACATATACTTAATTAGAAAGCATGATAAATGATACGTACGTAGTATTGTTTTATACACATGGCAAAGATAATTATCTTGTACTACGAATGTTTTAACTATAAAAGAAACCACGTGCAGTGTTTAATTTGAAACACGTGCACAGTGTTAATGCTACACACAGAACCAGAGTGCGATGTGAGGGCTAACATAAACTTTAAAGATCTTGAAGTTATTATAGTATGCCATCCAGGTATGGTGTCTATGTAAGAAGCACCCATAGCAGGACAGTACATACAATGGTATAAAGTATGACCACCGTTGGCTTGATACTTGTATCTGCCCATCGCTGTGTCTTGTTAAGACAACAGCAGATTGCAGAATGAATCATTATATGGAATATGATCCTCACACATGCACCATTTCCTATGTGAGAATTTAGCACACGGCAGGAAAGTTATCCTATTACACATATTTGACGGACACTCGCTGGTTGTATACTGTTGTATCAATAGCTTATTTTATAAGCGCACTGCAGTATGTGTACCCAGAACGATATGCAGTTGTTTGTTACGCTCACAAACCCTGGTCACTGGTATCTAATTTATTAATCCTATTAAAGAATTTATTTACCGGTTGTATGTTAACCTTTAAAATAGCCTGAGCATAAGTCTACACGCTGTAGGTTATTCTACACTATATCCTGGCTATAAGTCTGAACAGAAATCTTCTAATGCTAACACTCAACAAGTTCCTACTAACCACAAAGAAATAAAATGGCGTATTTGCCTCTACTTACAGAGCGTTCCAATGGGCCGCACTGAACAAAGGCACACTGCAGGGATGCCGACCAATCTCGAATGACCCCCCAATTTAGTGTGCTCCCCCTTTTAAAGCCTTGCGCGGACATATGAGAGAGCTTCTCCGTCAGACTAAACCAAGTCGGTCTACGTTTTGCCTTCTGGCCAGTTTCCTGGGATAAAATGCCTAACTCTGGGGACTAATCCCGAGTAATAATTAAAATCTCTGACCAAAGCCCTAACGACTTATATGTGATCTGTGCAGTTTTATCTCAGCTATCTAAGATACTATTTTATATTTTTATTAGTTAAATAGTTCTTGAGATATTTTAACTAGAAGGGGTGGGGACCACTATAAATGAAGGCGAAAACTCCTTTAATGACTAAATGTTAAAATATTCTCCAACGATGGAAACTTGTAAATATGCTAAGGTATAGTGAATAAAATCCCCTTTCTAACTAGATATAATTTATAACTTAATACGCTAGGGTTCCCGAGAAATAAATTATTGATTTTCTAACTAAAGCGCACATCGTGGTATTCTATTATTTCCCCCCTATGGGCAGGAGAAGCCGGCCGTATAGAGACCGCCGGGTGGGGTGAAAGGGATACCTGAGTTCAACATTCCGATCCAGTGCTAGGCGAGGTCACACCGCGCGACCTCGCGTTGGGCGCCAAACATGGTTGTACTAATAACGGTTGTCTCAAAATAACGGGCTAACGGGGCATACACTGCCACATAATGGTTAAACTTGTTGCCTGTAAAACTTGAAAGTTAATGACTTTGTTGTGTCTATTAATTAGGTTGCCAGAGAGCAGTGGTCAGAGACCTTGTGGGTCAATCTAAATGTTCAGATTCTACAAGACGGCATTGAAGGATTCTTAAAAACATTAAGGAAACTTCCAAGGGACATTCGACAGATGCCAGTTGCTCGATGCTTGGAGGACAAAATGAAAGAGTTTAGAGATTCTCTCCCCTTGTTTGGAGACTTGAAACATGAAGCTTTACGAGACCGTCACTGGAAAGAACTTATGGCCAAAACTGGACAGAAATTTGATATGAACCCTGACACATTCACACTGTCGAATATCTTTGCAATGGAGCTTCACCGCTACAAAGATACCATAGCTGAAATTGTCACCTGCGCTTCCAAGGAAATGGGCATTGAAAAGGTAAAATACAAATTGGTACTAGACCTTGTGACACAAAGAGATCCTGTGACATAAAGAGAACTTGTGACATAAAGAGAACTTGTGACATAAAGATAACTTGTGACACAAAGAGACAATTTGATCTGATGAAAGTAAAATATATTTTTTTCAAATTCATACATTTCAAAATTTCTTAATAAACTTTTTCTTTTTCAACTTGGATATGGCCTAGACTTACTCTTTTTTTGGAATATAAAAATTGTAGGCCTACTTGATAATTTCAGGATAAAGTTAACTACTGATCTCATTTATAAGTAAACATTTTTTATTCTGAATTTGTTTTATTTGCTTCAGGGTGTGAGGGAGGTGGAGGAAACGTGGAACAACATGAAGTTTAGTGTTCAGTCGTACATGAAGGGTACATCCAACAGAGGCTTCATACTTGGAGCAGTGGATGAGGTGCTCCAGAGTCTGGATGACTCATCCATGAACCTGCAGGTATGTCAGGAATTGTTTTTTTTATATGGAAGTCTAATGTTTATAAGGGTATTATGAAATGGCTGATGAACTTGTGCTCCTCTGAAATTTAATTTTTTTTTTAAATATCTTAGGGATAAGACAACAGAAAATACTATTTTAGGGACAAGACACTAGAAAATAATATCTACTTCTTTGTTAAATTTTAAATAGCTTCAATATGAAATGTTTACACATTTTTTACCCATCAATTTAAATTAATTTTGTTACTGTTCACAATGGTCATGAGAATGGGTTAATTAAATCTATTGACTATTTAAATATTTGCCATGCTAATCCATTCATGTTTGTGTCTGCTCAGAAGGAATGGCTGAAATTAGATTTTATCAAACTTCATGAAAGCACACTGCTGTTGTACTGTTTAAAATTATTTGCTAATCATAAAATAGGGTATTGCAGTGTAATGAGTCTTAATATTTACTACTGTAAACCAAAAATGGCTTGTTAAATAGTTTATTTCTCTACCCATTGCAGAGCATGTCAGCCTCCAGGTTTATAGGGCCATTCTTGACAAGTGTTCAGAACTGGGAGAAATCATTGTCTCACATTTCTGAAGTTTTGGATGTAAGTTGGAAAGATTATGGGTACCATTTAGTTATTTTATTTGAATGTTTCAAATGATGGATTAAAAACATAAAATTATATATATTTTAATACTATTAATATATTTTAGAAAACAAATTTTTCTCCATATTAGTATGGTTTATTGAAAGAAATTTACAGAATAATTATTTTTCTACAAACATGTAATTATATGAAAATCAAAATAAGAAGCACAATTTAAAACTCTAATTCTACCATGTTTATGATGCTCTTATCTATTGCAAGAGGACATAATATATAGAAAGCTAAAAAAAACATGATGTCAAAAAGTAAAGCTTTATCAATAGTTTAAAAAAAACATAATCTGATATCAATTTTAAAGATGTACACATTTCTCTGCCATGTTTTGAGTTTAATCTGAAAAAATTTTATGACACCGGGCCTTAATTTACTAATGCATACTCCAACTTTGATGCCATAATTAAAATTAAGTAAAGGGCTGGAAGGCATTAATTTTTAATATAACTTTTTAACCTAGCATTTGTGGTCATTTCTGCTTGGAATGTTAAACAAGAGTTTTCTGTTCCCCTTCACATGCTTTTTTTTAAAAAAGCTGCAATATTTAGGTAGAAAAAAAATGTCTAGTTGTGGTAATGGATTTAATTTTTTTAAAATTAAAATAAATTTACTTATCACAATCATAGTGGGTTTTTTTTTAACTCGTTGCAATGAATTAAGAAATTCTTTTTAATATTAGCATTATACGAGTTGCATAAAGTTTTGAATATTTAAAAAAATCTTTTCAGGTCTGGATGATTGTACAGCGCAAGTGGATGTATCTAGAGGGCATCTTCATTGGGGGAGACATTCGTTCACAGTTGCCTGAAGAGGCTAAGAAATTTGACCAAATTGATAAAACTTTTAAAAAGGTTTGTGACCATTAACATATAAGTCATAACATTTTTTCTAAAAATTTATATGTTGAAATTAATGAAAAGGACCAAACACTGCTTTTAAAAACAAATACAAATAACATGAAATTTTCACTGTTTTTTCTATAAGAATATGTAAGTTTAAAACATATTTGATACTGCTGAGATTATAGAATTATATTGTAATTTATATTTAATACTTATGATATTATAGTATTATATTGTAATTTTACACATTATTCAAAGCTATTAATATTGAATATTTTTAATCATTTTGTCATTATTTTGTCATTAGTTTTCAAAGTCAAATGTTTATTTTTTTAGATCATGACAGACACACACAAGACACCCCAAATAAAGATCTCCTGTCATGCTGCCAACCGTTTACAAGATCTGCAGTCTTTGAGTTTGGGTTTAGAAAAGTGCCAGAAATCTTTGAATGACTACCTAGACTCCAAACGTAATGCTTTTCCTAGGTTCTTTTTTATCTCGGATGATGAGCTGCTTAGCATCCTCGGATCATCAGACCCTGAGTGTGTTCAGGAACACATGATCAAAGTTAGTTGAAGTTTGTTATATCTTCTAAAACTTATTTGTAATTTACTTTTTTTTTTAAACATATTTTCCTCTTTAGTTGTTAATGTATTTATTTAAATAATTTTAAACTTGTCAAATATTTAGTTTTTTAATACACCATCATGGCTCCTGTTAACAAACACCTTCCACCATCTAAAGCTGTCAAGCCTAAATGCATGCATGCCCTGAAATTAGAATCCTTGTTGAATCCAATACAAAAAGAGAAATTTTCCAGCAACCTTTTATGGATTTTGCAACAATCTCACCAATTGGTAGCAGTCTGGAGTTTTTAATTTATTTTTAAAAAATATTTTGCATCAAATTTAAATCTTTTCAAAATCTTTATACTGTTACTTTTTGAGTTAAACAGTTGAATGTATCAAACGAATTCCTTAAATTATTAGGCCCTACATATTGAATTTTTATTGACGTCCTTTCATAAAGAACAAAAGATAAATTAGAAAGACAGTACAGATTATATAACTTTTGCTGCTAAAATTACAACATTCTTTTTTTTTATGCATCAAATCCTTCATTTTTTTTTTTTTTTTTGTTTTAACAGATGTTTGAAAACATAGCAGCCCTAAAGTTCCAGAAAGGTCCAACCAATGAAATGTTAGCTACTGGGATGGTGTCTGCTGAGAAGGAGGAATTTTTTTTTTTTTTTGCATTAAATTTTTTATTTTTTTTTTTTTTTTTGTTTTAACAGATGTTTGACAACATAGCAGCCCTAAAGTTCCAGAAAGGTCCAACCAATGAAATGTTAGCTACTGGGATGGTGTCTGCTGAGAAGGAGGAAATGGACTTCCATGCAAACGTCACAGCTGACGGCAGGGTTGAAGATTGGATGACATCAGTATTGGCAGAGATGAGAGCAACCAATCGACTTATCACTAAGGAGGCCATTTTTTACTACAGTCACAAGAAAACCAGGTAGGAAACAAATAATGACATTTTTAATCTATCAATTAGCACCATACTGTGATAATTCATTCTTTTTAATTCATAAAAATCACTTCACGTCTAGTGTTTTTGTGTGTGTTTTTTTTAAAAACTTTAATTTTACTCAAATTTTAGGAGTTACATCAATGAACCAAATTGGTATTATTGCCTAAATAAATTTAAATTAACAAATGATGACACTATTCAGGAAATTTGTATAGCTTTTAAAATGGGTTTCAGATATTTTATTGTCATTGCAACAAAGTTCACTTAATATAAAAAAATTATATTTTTTTCTAAGTGTACAATGCACAGCCGATCAATTTTTTAAATTTTGTTCAAATTATTATTTCCCACATCAAGGGTAGACTGGATGTTGGATTACCAAGGAATGGTTTGTCTTGCTGGTAACCAAGTCTGGTGGACATGGGAGGTGGAAGATGTTTTCCGTAAGGTAAAGAAAGGTCAAAAGACAGCCATGAAAGACTATGCCAAGAAACTTCACAAACAAATTGATGACCTTGTGGTCAAGGTAAAGATTAATGGAAATTTTTCTATATACTTTATGAAAGTAACAGAACTACTTATTAAAAAGTAACAGTCTTTAAACAGAATTACATTTGGTACTTAATGAATGCCTTATTTAAGGATGACCTGCAGACAGCAACTAAACAAAAGGGAACACTTCAGCCATGTAATTTATGACTTTTCTAAAGCTAAGCAAATTATTAGTCTTTATAAAAAAAAAGGCATGATCAAGTGATACAAGATATTGTTATAACTAGAAACCTTACCCAGAGTTTGTCAGCCTTCAAGTCATAAAAACCTTTTTTTTCATATTACGCCTATATTTTATCTATATTTTTGTAACTTTTATATATGACTATTTTGTAGATTAATAGCACTGATTATATTTATGCATTTGAATAGGTGAGGTCACCATTGTCTAAGAATGATAGGTCAAAGTTCAACACAGTTCTCATTATTGATGTCCATGCCAGGGACATCATTGACTGCTTTGTAAGGGACAGGTAAACATTTTCACTTATAACAAATAACTTTAACCATAAATTTAATACAAATACATGTATTTTAATGCAATTCTTGTCACACTAAAATTTTAAACAACCTGTTTTCAAATGATTGTCTTGTGTTATTTGACTTTAAATAAACCTGCTTGCAGTGACAAATGGACAGAAACATTCTAATCAAAGCTTAGATAATTAATCTGTCGATCTCAGAACAACCAGACACTGGAGTCCCTTAAAACCGATTTAAAGACACATCTATTTCGCAAACACCTTCTGGGATGATTGTCTACCTTATTTTCCAGTTAATGCATACTGGCTGTGTTGCTTAGGGTTGAAATGGCTAGAAAAACTTTGACATTGTATCCTTGTAATTAGTTTTTGTAGTGTTGCGTTTGTTTTAAATGTGGTAAATTATAGATTTGTTTTTTGTTGACTTTGTACCGTGCTTCGAGCCTTTGGGGATGAAGCGTGTTTTTGAAATGAACTTTATTATTATTATTATTATCATAGATTTTTTAAACATGTAATTTCTGAACTCTGTCTCACTCTCTTTTATAAACAGCATCATGGATTCAAGAGAGTTTGAGTGGGAATCTCAGCTCCGTTTCTACTGGGAGAAAGAACCAGACGAGCTGGTTATACGCCAGTGCACCGGAGAGTTTGGCTATGGTTACGAGTATATGGGCCTCAACGGCAGGCTGGTTATCACACCTCTGACAGACAGGATATACCTTACACTCACACAGGTGAAGTTTTAAACACACAATATATTTATCATGAAGTTTTGAGTAATACATTTTTATTGGATTTGTTTGTACAGCCACTGTCATTGTTTTCATCTGTTGGCTCCCTGGACACTTTGATGTGTATTCCATTTTATGCACACACTATGAAACAGAAATTAAAGATTCTCAACAGAAAAGGACAAAAGTCTTGAAAAAAAACAAAAGAAATATTCATTTATTTAACAGGCACTGTCCATGAAACTTGGTGGAGCGCCAGCTGGGCCTGCAGGTACAGGGAAGACAGAGACAACAAAAGACCTGGCAAAGGCACTTGGGCTTTTGTGTGTGGTCACCAACTGTGGAGAGGGCATGGACTACAAGGTATACTAATATTTTACAATTATTCATAAAATGGAAAGTCATTATCAGTAAGTCATTTTGGGCTATCACTTAAATCTTTTTTGGTAATGTTTCACTTTTTTCACTTTTTAAATATATTATTTATTAATATTAAAAATTTCATGAATTTTCTATTTCTATAAAATGAAGCATAATTGTTTAAGGATGTATGTTGTGATATTAGTTTTAAAAAGACAAATAAAAAAGTGTATTTTTTTTACTAAAGTAATTTTTCATTATTATATAATGATGACTTAAATTATTAAAATGATGATCTAATAATTGTTTCATAGATTGTTACTATGGAATGTTAAACAGATGTTCTAAGATTTGTATCTTCTCAGAGTCTAAAAATTAGATTAACCCCCTGAAAGAATGAATTCAAAGGTGATGAATACATATTATTATTTATATCAAACAGGCAGTTGGTAAAATCTTGTCTGGTCTTTGCCAATGTGGTGCTTGGGGCTGTTTTGATGAATTCAACAGAATCGATGTGTCAGTGCTATCTGTCATCTCTACACAACTGAAGACTATCCAGAATGCACTTGTGCTAAATCTCAAACGATTCCATGTAAGAATCTTAAATTTAAAAAAATATATTTATCAATATTTATATTATATGCCATAATATTCTATTTAAAAAATGATTTTATTTCAGAGACTGTATGTATTTTATGAGACTAAAAAATGTACAATTTTATTTCATTTAGTTTGAGGGTCAGGAAATCGACATGGACTCAAGAGTTGGTGTATTTATTACCATGAACCCTGGTTATGCTGGACGGACAGAATTACCAGAGTCTGTAAAGGCTCTTCCGACCTGTTGTAGTCATTGTGCCAGATCTCCAGCAGATTTGTGAAATCATGTTATTTTCTGAAGGCTTTTTACTAGCAAAAGTAAAGAAGCTCTATCAATTGATTTCTTCTTCTATATATTAAGGGCCCATGATCAATTTATTGATTATTTTGGCTTACCTCTCTTAACTCTCATAAACTCAAATAAAAGTATGTAACCATATGTTAAAATTAATTTCTGCTCTAATTTGTTCTAATGAGATTTTTCTTCAATATCCATTTTGAATCATTTTTGTTTACTTTAATATTTTAAAAATTAACTAAGTGTTTTAGCTATGTTTTACAAAGAGTAATTCATATTTACCTGCCAGCCAACCAACTTTTCTTCACTATTTCTGTAGATATTGGCTAAAAAGATGACAGTTTTGTACAAACTCGCCAAGGAGCAGTTGTCCAAACAGTACCACTACGATTTTGGCCTCAGAGCTCTGAAATCTGTCCTGGTCATGGCTGGAGAGCTGAAGAGAGGATCTCCAGATTTAGCAGAGGTATAGATTTAGGGGAACATTAAGTATTTCAAATATTCTGTTATCCAAATTATTAAATATTTCTATATTATGTACAGCTCTTAAAAGTGGTATTAATATTTCTTATACCACAATAGAAAATTGTTGAGGTAATATATTTTAGCATCTGTACTAAAATAAAGTATTTATTCTTTCACCTACATTGTTTGTTTGTGCATTTGTGCAGACAATAAGCAATTATTTCCATTTTAAGTTCTAAAATACTTTTAATCTAAAAATATTGTAATAGACAAATGAGTTACTGGCAATGGGGGTACATAGACAATAAATGTACTGCAGGCTTTAACAATTTTTGAATTAAGAAGCAACAAAACTAAACAATGAAAAGTGTTTGACCTGAGTGATAAATGAAAGAATAACTCACTCTTAACTCTGCAAACTATAGGAATTAACTTAAATAATTAATTACACAGCAGAAAAGCCAATGAAATATATTTGGTAATCACTTTGGGGAAAGAGGAAGACTGGGGAAGAAAGCCATAGCAGAAATGATAATTTACTCAGAACTGTCAAGATCACAAGTAAAATTACTAGATCATGCATTTAGAAATGAGTATGGAAAATGAACAAAAATATGTTGGCATCTCTCGACAGGATGTTGTACTGATGAGAGCTCTCAGAGACATGAACCTTCCCAAGTTTGTCTTTGAGGATGTGCCACTATTTCTGGGACTCATCTCTGATTTGTTTCCTGGTCTGGACTGCCCCAGGGTCAGATATCCCAATTTCAATGATGCTGTGGAGCAGGTCTTGCAGGACGGCGGCTACATCTTGCTTCCTCATCAGGTTTGTCATTTAATCTGGATATAGTAGTTGTAAGAGGTAAATTACTGTGGTTTGTTAAGTCCGCTATGAAACTTTAAATTATTGGAGAAATTTTGGGGAGAGCAATAGAATACAACAGCATACCTTTTAGATTTATGATTTATACATACAATTTCTATTAATTGAAAATTCAAATAGAGTCTTTAAAAAAAAAGGATTGCATTTTATAATTTAAATTTTTGCATTTTTGAAACCTCATTTTGAACAAAACTGATTGAAAAATATTGATATCAGGTGGACAAAGTGGTTCAAATGTATGAGACCATGTTGACCAGACACACCACAATGATTGTTGGACCAACAGGAGGAGGTAAATCTGTTGTCATCAACACACTGTCACAAGCTCAAACGAAGTAAGTGTAATTTAAGATGAAATCTCTTTCCTTTGTCTTTTCTGATATCTATATCTATTAAATTGTGATGAAAAAGATTGCAGTATATCTTTCCTATGTATATTATCCGTTTACCCAAAAATTTTTAGAAAGAAATGTTTTCGAACAGTAATTAGATTTGTCCAAAATGAAGTAATGGGAACAAAATTATATTTTTTATTATAAGTAAAAAAATTGTCCCATTTCTCTCTCACACCTTCCCTTAAAAAACATTAAAATTATAAATAAATAAATCTCATTTTAACAAGTTTAATTTTAATCAAACTTTCGTTAGCAAAAATTTGCATAAAACAAATATCTTGCTAACAATTTTCCAGATACCATATTATCCCTTACTTATTTTAACAACGTAATTTCACTATAGTGCTTGAGTCTCTTTGGCCAAGTTAATATTGGTCTTTTGTTTTATATGTGATATATGCAAATGTCTAGTTGTTTATAGTTGGGTATTTTACATTGTTTGTAAAGATGGCTAAAATATATTTAATTGATGTTTAAACATGGTTCTTAAAATGATTAAGCTTCACAGTAGTGTAAGTAGCCAGGGGAATATGCCATTGGAAAATCTATCATTCATGATATCATTATGTCATTCATTTGATAAAAACTTTTTTTTAAAATACTTTATTCCTTTTAATTCTATTTAGGCTTGGAATAACCACAAAGTTGTATGTCATCAATCCCAAGGACAGATCAGTAATTGACCTTTATGGTATCCTAGATCCTGTGACCCGTGACTGGACCGATGGACTCCTGTCCAACATTTTCAGGGATATTAACAAACCCACTGACAAGAATGAACGCAAATACATTGTTTATGATGGTGATGTTGATGCATTGTGGGTAGAAAACATGAACTCTGTCATGGATGACAACAGGCTGATGACACTAGCCAATGGAGAGAGAATCAGGTTACAGAAGCACTGTGCTATGCTTTTTGAGGTAAACAATTATTTTAAACCTTACATCTTTGAAAAGGGATAGATATGTATTCATTTTGTTTCCAATAGTAAATTCATTAAAAAAAACACCATAATGTTCTTACATTAAAAGCCCTTAGGCCAAGTGTAACCTTTCTCTTGCCTCACTAAATAATTTTCTTAACAAGAGAACAACAGGAAGTAACACATTTTGGGATAAATCTACAAGGAGAGAATAAAAACAATATAAAAATCATTTCAACAATTACGTTGTAGCAAAATAGTAGTCATAGCTGATTGTCAGTTCAGACACATATGTTTGGACGAGGCATCATTTTAGAGTTTTTGTTTTTTAAATAATAAATTTGTTTGAAGTTCATACAAGTTGCTTTTGCATCACTGTAGGTGTATGATCTACAATTTGCATCTCCTGCAACAATCTCTCGATGTGGCATGGTCTATGTTGACCCCAAAAACCTGGGCTACAAGCCATTCTGGCAGAAGTGGGTGTCCACCAGACCCACCAAGCAAGAGCAAGATACCCTCAATACCCTGTATGAGAAATATGTTCCCAACTGCATTGACCTTGTCATTGAGGGCATTCAAGATGGCAGACAGGGAGAGAAACTGAAAACTATTGTGCCACTGACCAACTTGAATATGGTACATCAAATTTTTTTCATTGGATAATTATTATTTAGGACTTATATTTAAAAAAACTAATTCTGCTTTCACTACAGGAATATCTAATTAGGTTTCATTTAAATATTGTTATTATACCCTTGAAAGAAAAGGTTTTGGACATATAAAAATGCAAGTAAAATTGTCATATATCTTTCTTTGTATTAAAATAAATCTTTAAGGCTTTAGATCAGTCAGCTTTGAAAAAAAGATGGAAAAAACTTGCTTTGTATATTTTTTTTTTTTTGCAATTGATATATTTAGTTACAAATAATTTTTAAATCTGACAATCCAATTTACAACAGATAGGAATTTAAAGAACTGATGCCCTCTGATTGACATTCTCTGAATGACCTTATAGTATTCCAATAAATATTTAAGAAGCTGCCAAAATAAAGATATTTGTTGTTGTTGCAGGTAAACCAGCTTAGCCAAATGCTGAATGCTATTTTGATCAAGGATGTCCCAGAACCATTAGAGCTTGAAGCTTACTTCCTGCAGTCACTTGTTTGGTCTGTTGGAGCTGGTTTGCTAGAAGATGGAAGAGTAAAGTTTGATAATTATGTCAAATACCTTGCTTCACTGACCCAGATACAGGAAGAGAGCAAGTTTGCTGGACCAGGTAGGAACAATTTAAAAAACATTTCAAAATTAAATAATGAAATAATGTTTTAGTAGTAGAGGAAATATGGTGTGTTGCTCTTGTGTAAAAAATGTTAGCAAAAAAATGCTGGATGAGATGTTACATCTGTTTGTGTAAATTAATCTTTCACTAAAGAGACAGTTTTTCAACAGATTTTCTTCACAGAATATTTATGAGTTTAAAACTAATCAAATATAAATTATTTTTGTGTTTGTTGTACAGTGAAAGGAAGAACTAAAAATCTATATGCTATGTTATGATTAAGTTAAAGAAAATTAATAAGTTAATAGAAAGGTAACAATACAGCTAAAATATTAAATTGCCATATTTTTTAAATTTGTGTATCAACATCTGAAAGTGGCCAAAATTCACAGTCTTAATCAATGAGACACATGCTCTTCTTTAATTATATGTTTTCAATGTATGTTCAATAAATTGTTACAAACTTGAATTTTTCAACTCTGTATAAGAAGAAGATTTTTTAATAAGCCTACATGTGGTTACCTATTTCATAGCATGACAAATATCTGTTTAGAATAAAACATATAAGACACTCACTGCTGTTAAGTAGTCTACTATTTTCAAATGAAACCCACAAACCATGTTCTTTTCATGACAAAACTGTCAATGATAGGAAAAAACATTGCTTCACATACATTGTTGAACAATTTTAACAGCACTCTTGACAAACCACAGTGATTTTATAAGTAGATATTTGCCAAACTTTAATATTTCTGCCTATTTGTCCTTGATATTTTTAAAAACATTTGCCAAGCACAAGCTGCATTCACATCAAATCCTATTTCCCACATAAATATAGGCCTAATTGTGTACAATTAATTTGGAAAGGAAATAAAATTATTTTTTATCATTTAAATTTCATTCATACATAAATAAATGAACTGAGTTGTGTATCTATAACAAGACAACAAGTATCTGCTCTCTCTGTGTTCATATTTAACATAAAATTTAATAATACTTTTAATCATCTTCAATGTCTTTATCCATTTATTACACTCAACATTTATGAAAATATCTCTTTTTCATAATTCAAAATGAAGCACAACTTTTAGAGCTTACCACTGATCACAAATTTTTTTTATGTGATTTGTTCTTAAAATAAGTGTCACTTTACTCCAAAGTTACTTAAATTTTTGAAAATTAAAGAACAATAAAGTTTAAATATTATAATCTTTTCTTTCATACACATATATAAATTCATTCCCATTTTTGGGTCTACATTTTGTTTTTGATAGTTGCACTCATGAACTTCAGAAGAAAAATGAAGGAATTTTTGAGTAAGTTGGGGCAGAAATCACACTCATCGGTCAGGAGGCAGTCACTGCCAAATAATTGTTTGATAGTTGCAAATATATGTATTGGAACATTTACTCAATCAAACTTTATATTACAGAAGTCACTTATTTGTGTAAATAATGATATATTACATTCAAATATATTGATGTATTTTAAGTGTAATAGATTTTAGTGCAATAATGACATTGACTTTATTACAGCTAATATATTTTATGTTCTATGGTTTATTAATGTGGACTTAATAAGTCAGCTTTATAAAGCAGATTTATGTCAGTATGTTAATTATGCACTAAATGAAAAATACAGTACACATTAATTTTATGAAAATAATGATATTCTCATCTGCAATAGGTTTTCTTGTTTCATGAATCACTTCTCACTTAAAATTGTATAATATTAATTAATAAAACATTTAAAATAGGCTTGAAAAAGTGAAGAAATTAATTATGTTTTTGATCCTTCCATATGTTTTTGCTCTTCAATGAAAAGTCTAACTGCTTATTTAAAAAAGCTATTGATTAATTTTGAAATACAATAGTTGAATAGTGTTTATTGTTGCAGCTTTTATCAAGATTACCCTGTCATACATTGAGGAATTTCAGCATATATCATTGACTACAAACAAATCACTGACGTATATAATCACTTAGTGGTCATCTCGTATTAACTTTCAAAAAATTATAGAAATTCATAGACTTTGCCAAAGCCAGCTCAAAAGTTTTATAGGACAAAGTTATTACATTTTTTATATTTTACACAGCCTCACTATGTTTGCCCATGTCCTCAGCCACATGCATGAAATGTTGCTTTTTTATATATTTTTTTAGAACTCATCTCAGGCTTTTCTTGAATTTTAAATATTATCAGGAACAGATGATGCTTATCAAAAACTTTGAAAATAATTCATTCCCCACAAAAAAAAAAGCTACCTTAGGGATTATTTTAACCGTGTCATGATAAATCAATAAAATATTATGTTAACAATTAATGAACTTTTTTCAATAATTGTTTCTTTTGCATTAATTTTCTTTACAATTATCAGCTGGAGGCCATCCTTTTTATCTTGTCATCCTATTCACTGCATGAATCCCCAGCAGCTAGAGCTGGCTCTGCCCTTACACTTTTACATCATTATGTTATCATTCTTGTACCTAAAGTTATGAAAACACATTCACATGCCTGAGTTTTTTTTGTTAGATTTTGATAGTCACTGCATTATTGATAATGTTATTGTAATACATCATCTAAACTATGTTCTACAATGTCTATAACAAATATGTCAGTTTTAAATTTTAATGCAAATTTTATAGAAGCATCTTGCTAAAGTCATTACAAAAATTGTATTTCTACTTAAAAACTAGTTTTCTATTTCAGAATTTCAGCAAAATCTACAAGAAAAGAAAAAAAACTATCTAGCTATTTTCATAAATAATATATCATAATAGTCTGTATTTATATGATTTTTTGTCTTTACATTTAACATTATCTCTTCTGTGGAGGTTTTTAAATGTCTCAAATGTTTTTTAAAGACACGTATTGATGAATTCATCATACTTATTTCCTAATTATAATAATCTAATGCAAATAATGATCTTATTTAAACAAAATCTGACATTAGGACAGCCATCTTAACTAGGTTTTTTTTATTATTAAGGTGAGCTTCCTGGACTGCAGACCCTTTATGAATACTTCTATGATGGGGAACAGAAAAAATGGGTTCCCTGGTCTAAAATGGTACCAAAGTACAAGCACAACCCAGACCTCAAGTTCTATGAAATCCTAGTCCCAACTGTTGACACAGTAAGAGCAACATGGCTCCTTGAGCTCATGGTGAGGATCAAACGACCTGTTGTTCTTATTGGTGAGACTGGAACTTCAAAGACTGCCACCATTTCCAATTTTCTGAGAACTTTAGATCAAGAGCAACACGTAAGTTGAAATGATTAATCTCATTCTTTCAACAGTACATTTTTCGCTCTAAAAAAAACATGTTATTTAAACTATTTTAATGATTTCTTTTAATAAAATTGTAATAAAATATCAATTTTCCCATATTATTAGCCAAATTTTTCAGTTCTTTATCAATAAAAACAATTACGCTCACCCTTGCTTTATGCTGATGTAATGTGGGAACAATAATTATATTTTACTTGAATTAGTCTACATTTCAGGAAAAAAAGCTAAGCTACAATATTTACGATTATACACACATACCTAGATTTCACATTTAGTCTTCAAGTCTCCCTCAAATGATATATACAGAATTAAGTGACCTTCCAACTTTTAATAACTTACTGTACTTTATCATCACATTTCTCACTCATAAAACATTCTAAAAGACCACAGAAATGACAAACAATAGGTTTTCACCTGGAAAATCTTTTTTTCTTTCTGGAAGCTTCTATTGAACATGAACTTTTCATCCCGAACAACGTCCATGGATGTGCAGCGTAATGTGGAGTCCAATGTAGAGAAGAGAACCAAAGACACATATGGGCCACCACCTGGCAAGAGACTTATCATCTTCATTGATGACATGAATATGCCCCAAGTACATATTATTTTCTTCATTAATGCCACGAATAGGCCTGTGTTGTCATGTATTTCTCATGCTGATTGTTGATAATTATTATAAAATATCAAGATGTAAACCCCTATTATCAAAATACCAACCAACCATGTAATCATAAATGTTTATATTTTAACAGGTTGACACTTATGGAACACAGCAACCAATAGCGCTGCTCAAACTTCTTCTGGAGCGCGGTGGACTCTATGATCGAGGCAAGGATTTGAACTGGAAGAACATGAGGGACATGGGGTACATTGCTGCCATGGGCAAGGCTGGTGGAGGTCGTAATGACACGGATCCCAGATTTATTTCTCTTTTCTCTGTGTTCAACATGACATTCCCTGATGCTGAATCTTTGTTCAAAATTTACAACTCCATCCTTGAGGGACATCTTCAATCATTCACTCCAGAGTTACAAGCCCTCTCATCCACCATCACGAAGATGACAATGGAGTTGTATAGGTACATGGATCAGATTTTGTTTATTTTGTTTTTACTATATAGTATAGTGCGCTCAAAATTAAATCTGAAGAAAATTTTAACGTAAAAACCGAAAAAAAGATTCGACCAAATTTCCGTTTAATCAAATTACCGTTGAATTTACCGTCGACGAAATTTCTTTCGCTCAAATTTCCAGTAACCATCAGATTTATTTAATAATTTCTTTCTGACCTTTGGGTTGCCTTTATGTTTCCCGTATCAAATAATATCATTCATTTGAGATAACACACAATTTTGTGAACTAGAAGCTCTTATAAAACCCTTACCCACTTTTCATAAGCATTCATAAATTTATTTATTAATTTAAAAAATCAAAATAACAATTTTTTTTACATACTCTCTTTATTTGTTCTTTTATTTACAATAATATAACCCAGTTTAACTATCTATTTATCTTTTAATTAAACTATCAATGTTCTTTGTTTCTTGTATCGCCATTTTGCCAAAAGCAGTTGTTAAAATTACTGCAAACAAAATAATCACTGTAAGTTATTGAATTTTTTACACTGACGTTGAAAAATTGTGAAAGATTTAACCCATTTAAATGTTGAACAGATTCAGTTAAAATTATTTAAAATTTTTTTTACTAAAATGTTTAATAATTATAAAATATCTATTGCTTTGCTTTTTAAGTTGTTTATTGGTTTTCCTCTAGAATTTAAACAATTTGATAAACAGAAGCTAAATAAAAAATACTTTTAAATAAAAGAAATGTAAATTTTAACAATACTTTCTTTTCTTTCTTTTGTATTGATCAAAGCATATTTTTCTTTTGAATTTCTTTTTACTTTGTGCTTTTTTTAACATTCTTTTTGTTCAGAGATGATATGAAAAAAAGCAAATTTCTCTTTTTTAATATGCCAAGTTTAGTTTATGGAGGTGAAACCCATCATATTGATTTAAAGATTGAAAACAAAATTCTTTTTAATAATTAAGAAGGTCTGCAATAACTTTATTACTTTTCAAAAAAAAATCTGTGACACCATATTATAAATCCATATTTTTTAAACAATGAAATCATATCATATATTTAAATCATATTTAGATTTGCATTAGCTGCTACCTCTTTCGTAAGTTTTATTTAGTTCATACCTGATATATTTTGTGGTCATTTACACATTAGATGACAGTGCTTTGTGGTCATTTACATATTAAATGACTGTGTGTAAACTAGAATTTGATGCAGTTAACATTTTTGTTAAATAATTTAAATTGGGTTTTCTTTAATGTAAAAAAACCTTAAAAAACAGTTAAAATATTTGTAAAATTAATTGAAATATGAATAAACTAACGGCTTAAAACATTGCCATTGGCTAGAATATAAACTTGTGTACATCTCCATCAACCATTGGACCATATTTTTTTAAATTGCTCAGTCTTTTCTTGCAGCTTTATTTTACTACAGAGATAACTAAGCATTAAATATTATTTAATCAAATCCCAATACTTTATATATTATTCAAAAATATGTTATGTTTCCTAATATCTCATGATATTTATACATTATCTATTTAATAACTACAATAAATTTATATTTCAATTAACCACCAGCCACACTGTCAAGGAGTTACCACCCACCCCATCAAAGTTTCACTACATCTTCAACCTGCGAGACTTGTCTCGTATTTACAACGGCCTGTGCCTATCAACCCCAGATAGATTTACCAAAGAGGATCAGTTCTTGCGGCTGTGGAGGAATGAGTGTCACAGGGTCATCAGTGACCGTCTCATCAATGATCAAGACAAAGAACTCATTGCGGTGAGTCTACACCATTATTGTGATATTTAAAATCAAATTAGCATCAGCTTTTCTGTGAGTCCAATTATTACTTACGGTTGTTTTTTTTAAATCCCATTAATGATGTTTGATTTTACTTATTTTAATTTCTTTTTACTCAATTTTTTATATGCAGAAAAAAATATCTGCTCTGCTGGAAGAAAATTACAAGGCTCACCTAGAACATGTTGTGCGTGATCCTTTGTTGTATGGTGACTACCGTACAGCTCTGGATGAAGGAGAACCAAGACTTTATGAGGACATACAAGATTATGAAGCAGCCAAGGGCTTGTTTCAAGAGGTATGCAGGACAATATTTTTGTTATAAAGCATCACCTGATACAAATAAAAGTACATTATGTCAATGCGTGTCTGAATTCATTATCATCCATGTATTGTGACTATGTGACTGCAAATACCTATATTCAACATGATAAAAAATTATAAGAAGATGTTAGATTATTTTAATACTTTTTGTCATATTTTTTCATATTATAATTATGAAATCAATTTATTTTAAATTCATTTAATTTTGGATCATACGGAGCATAAAAATTAAATCAAATACTAAGCCACAACTTTATGCAATTTTATTGATTCAGTTTGTAATATAAGCTTCAATGATAAAAATAAAAGCTGCCAACAATCATTTCAACTCAGTATTTTGGTGATCAGTTGAGTTTTATACTTGGAAAATTATGTATATATTTTTTTGTCTAAGAAAATAACTACTGTACTTAATTTTTGTTTAAAAAGCTTTCATTACAAGTAACAATGTTTACAAACAAGGTGTTTGCTTGCTTAAAAACAAGGTGTTTGCATGTTTACTAAAAAAAACTCTTTGCTTGCTTTCAAAAAAGGTGTTTGCTTAAGAGTGGGGAAAAAAGAAAGAAAATTACAAAAGACTTTCTAACTTCACAGATCCTAGAAGATTACAATGAAAGTAACACACCAATGAATCTTGTTCTCTTTGATGATGCCTTAGAACATCTCACCCGTATTCACAGAGTTTTGAGGATGGACAGGGGACATGCCTTACTTGTTGGTGTTGGGGGTATGTTGGATCTAATGAGACATTTGGTAACCGTGTGTCCATATCTTACCAAACAACTTAATAGATCCTGCTTCTCTTTGGGACGGGGTTAATGTATTATATTTTTTAAATGGATTGGATATGAGCGAAATTGTCATGGGCGTATAGAACTTTTTAAAATGGGAATTAAATCAGTAGATCAATTTAGGAAATGATAGAAATATGGTCTGAGTTGTTTCAGAAAAGTGAAATATTTAAGCCCCACTGAAGATCTTTTCAAATGGATTTAAATTTTCAGGCAGTGGTAAACAGAGTTTGTGCCGGTTGGCCTCATATGCTGCAGATTGCCAGGTTTTTGAAATCATGTTAAGTCGAGGCTACAGTGAGAATTCCTTCAGGGAAGACCTGAAAGTTTTGTACAACAAACTAGGGATGGAGAATCAAAAAGTATCATTCTTATTCACTGATCAACATGTTGTTGAAGAAGGTATGACTCAAAAAAAAAAGGAACTTTATTGCATAAATTATTAAACATTGACTGGCATAATGTATTTTCTTTTGTAAGTTTTAAGTTTTTGGTTTCAAAATAAATGCAACATTTTGGGGATAAATTAACATTTTTTTTAACTTATAAAATAGATCTTATGTAATATTTTGCATTGAATATTTTACTCTTTCATTTTTAATAGTTTATAAGAAAAAAATAGATCTAAATCTTAAAATTTAATTTGAAAAAGAGAAATCATTGTTTTCATTTTTGGTCAGGTTTTCTGGAACTGATCAACAATATGTTGACATCTGGTATGGTTCCAGCTCTCTATGCTGATGATGAAAAAGAAGGTATCATTGGACAGGTCAGAAAAGTACCTTATTAACACATTTAATTTATTATGACAGGAAGAATAACATCTTTCTCTTGAGATTAAAAATAACCCAAATAAATAAAGTAAATAAAAAATCACTACAAAACCAAATTCTAGCCCAGAACTTTTTTATAAAACTATTTTCTACTCTTTAAAATTATTTTCCATTCCTTTTTATAGAGATCATTTTAATAGTTAAGTTTGTTTTTTTTTTGTTTTTTTTTTACATTCAATTATTTTAAAAAATTAAATTATTAAAAAACAAGTAATAATGTTTCAATCATTCTTAGTCAACAAACAAATGTATAAGTAAACTGAAAATACATCAAATGATCAACTTAGGTGGTACTTACTTTTATTGTGAATTGTTTTCTATTTATGAGTTTGCAACTTTTTAAAAACTACAATTTTTAAATGGTTGTCTCTAAATTAGTCTAAATGACAAGTAATTTAACAAATTTGTATCTTATGTTCTGGTGTAGTTGAGAGATGAAGCTCTGAGAGCTGGAGCGGGCCATGCCAAAGAGATGATCTGGCAATATTTCATCAACAAATGTGCCAACAACCTTCACATTGTTCTGGCCATGTCTCCAGTTGGAGACACTCTGAGAACAAGATGCAGAAATTTCCCTGGTATTTATTGTCTCATTCTTATTGTAAATGATCAGCCTATCATTGATTCATCTTGTGTGTTTTTATTTGTAACAACACTGTTACAATATAGTTCTTGACAATCTTCATACACATAATAAAAAATCTTTATATATCACATGTGACTACTCTAAACACCTCACATCATTTGTCTGTGTAAGCCATAAATATTCTGTTTGCAAGAGAAATCCAATATCATTAACATTATATTTGCACACACTCCAATTATTATTTATACACACTCCACATACAGTTTTTACAGACTTCTCATCCTGTGTGGTTACGCTCAACATATGCACATAAAAAATGTTTCTCATAATAAATGCTTCCTATTTTTTTAATACTGCTTTTCTGTATTTCTCCATTGCAGTACAAAAATAAAATCTTATTACTTTTTTTTATATATTACTTTTTTTTTTTTATAATCACAGTATCTTAGAAAAAAAGCCAAAAAAACCATCCCTGCTAACTAACTTGTAATATCCCTTCAGGTACTGTGAACAATGCCAGTATTGATTGGTTCTTCCCATGGCCTGAACAAGCTCTCTATGCAGTTGCCAGTGTTTTTATCTCTCCTGAAGTGAGTGACCTTTTTTTTAAAAATTATTTATATTTTACTTTTGATAATCCTTAAAAAGTCCAAAGAATGGACTGGAGCTAAAGACTATTATTATCCATTCTAAGGGAGTAAATTGTAATCATACAGTTATTTGTTTTTGTAATTGGCATATTACAGAATCAGCTGATCCCAGTGGACAAACGTGAAGACATCGTGGCCCACGTTGTTATGGTCCATCAGTCCATTGGGGTGTACAGCATTAAGTTCCTGCAGAGGCTCCGAAGAAATAATTATGTCACACCCAAAAACTACCTGGACTTCATCAATACATATGTTAAGCTTCTTGATGACCAGGACAAGTTTATCCTCAGTCAGGTATAATAATTAATTCTATGGGAGGTATAAAATTGCATACAATATTCTTTTATTATTTGTAGACTATTAATTTCATCCCAAACTCATTAACATTTTAGAATAGTTAAGATGATTTTTAAAAAAAATTATTGTGACTATTTTGTATATTAATCAATTATTCCATTAATTTCTGATATTATAAAGCCAAAGCTTGTTTTATTTGATCAGTGTGAACGCCTTCAAGGAGGATTGCAAAAAATTGCAGACGCCAGTGAGATGCTTGCAGTTTTGAATGAGAAGCTGGCAGTCCAGAAAGTTGCAGTCACAGAGAAGACCACAGCTTGTGAGGCTCTCCTAGAGGAAATTGCAAGTGGCACTAAGACAGCCACAGAAAAGAAAGCATTTGCTGAGGCCAAAGGAGAGGAAATTGCTGAGCAAAGTAAAATAATTGAAGTGGAGAAGGTAAAGCTTGAACCAATTATTAACTGCTTTTTTATTTTATGCCTAAAAAAATACTATCTACTTTGAAATTAAATCCCCGTTGGAAGTCTGTTGCTAATGCACTTGCCATTAGTGAGGTCTGTGAAATAAACAAGTAGCTGACCTAAAAAATTATGGCAATGAGGTCAACCATTTTTTTTTCCTTTTGAACTTTTGTTGTTCTGGCCTAAGCCAAATTATTGCACTATTTTTTTACCATCACTGATCTGATGCTGAACTCATGTTAGGAAATATTTTCCTAGTGTTTGTATTAAACTTTTTTTTTTTTCACATTGCATGATCAAGTTTGTCCCACAGTCTGAAAGTTGAACAAATCAATTTGAATGTGTTTTGAAATGCTTTCTGTATCTTAATTCCAGTGGGAGGAACCAATACTTGGTATACAGTAGAACCAATACTTGGTATACAGTAGAACCAATACTTGGTATACAGTAGAACCAATACTTGCTATACTGCAAAAATATCACATTCGTTTAAAGAAAACCAAATCTTTTTATTTGCTCTACAGAAAGAAGCAGAAGATGCCTTGGCTGAAGCTTTGCCTGCCCTTGAAGCTGCCAGGATTGCCCTTGATGACTTGGATAAGCAAGATGTCACAGAAATCAGGTCAGAAATCTTTTTTTAACCTAATGTATATTATTTTTAATAATGTTTACAAAAAGATGAATATGTGTTTATGAAAAATGTATGCTTTGCTTAAAAGAACTTTAAAGAAATATATTTGCACTTAAGTTCCCTGATTTTCTGTCTTTTAAACATGATCTCTTAGAAACTTTGAACACATGCACTGTGAATGTGAAGTTCATAAGATTTATACTTTTAGATCTTTTGCCAAGCCGCCCCGTGAGGTGCAGACAGTCTGTGAATGTATCGTGGTGATGAAGGGCATACGAGAAGTGTCTTGGAAGTCTGCCAGAGGGATGATGTCAGAGGCCAACTTCCTCAAGACCTTGAAGGAGATGGATGTGGATAACATCGGACAAAAGCAGATGGCTACTGTTAAAGGTGATCTGAGCTTAATTAATTAATGAAATTCAAATAGATTAATAAGACACGAACAAATTGTGTCAATATAACAAAATAAGTTACACTTTAATAATAATAATAATTATACATTATACACAATTAAACGTTGAAATTCAAAGGCTGATTCAACACCGTCTGAGAAAGTTTTGGAATAATTTTACTTGATGGTTTTTTAATTCTCTTCCAGCTGGCCATTCTCAAAGCTCTTTTATGTCTAGTGTTTTGCGGAGTTTTATTTAAATAAACAAAAATTATTACCTGGGTAAAAATGGCAAAATTACACTTTCCTAGCATTTTTTATCACTTGAATATTTTTAAAACTCTTTTTAAAATAAATTTTTAATAAATTGGTCTTGTTTATCCGCATAAGCTTTAAATAGTTGAGTTACATAAAAAAATATATAATGGCTATCTAATTTTTGCTTCAGGTTTACTGAAGGACATTGACATGACGATTGATGCAATGAAAGCCATTAGTAAGGCAGGAGCTGGTCTCCTGAAGTTTGTGGAAGCTGTCATGGGATATTGTGCTGTTGCCAGGGAAATCAAACCAAAGAGAGAAAAGGTGGCCAAACTGGAAAGGAACTTCTTTCAGGTCAGTTTTTGCCCCAGATTATTGTCAGATTCAGATTATGTCATAACTGTTATTTAAGTTTTAGCCATTTCTGCCCATTCTCATCAAGATATTTTCAGTAGATCCTTATTTCTAGGTGTAACATTTTGAAATTAATAAAAACATGCATGTAATAGTTTCCAGGACAAAACTTAGAAATTAAGGGTAAAAATTTTAAGTACCTTAAAAATATTTTTAAGGGGCTATACACATTCCTACATAATAAAAATTACTACAGGGCCACTTTATCCAATAGGACAGACAAAAATAATACAAACGTTCAGATGTATTATTGTTGGGAAATAGCCTAAAATTAGTTACTCTTGTTTTTCTAAGGCCAAGAGAGATCTTGATAAAGTGACTAAAGAAGTCCAGGCCCTGGAAGAGGAATTGAATGAATTAAACAAGAAATATGAGCAGGCTATGACAGAGAAGCAGGCCCTAGAGACAGAGGCCAGGATCATGGAGCGGAGATTGATAGCAGCAGATAAGCTCATCTCAGGTCTTGGTTCAGAGAACATCAGGTAGGCAATAGGTGTTGGATGTAAATCACGCACATTGAAAGGATGGCAGAGATATGTTAGAATCACTGTAATGACCTCTATAACATTAATTTATTTAAAAGTACTGTTTTTGAAAAAAAATTATTTGCATTGAGATGCTAACACGACAGTTCATAGCAAGGATGAATAGACAGCAATTTTATCTGAATAATTACCTGCTTTAGGCCATTTCTCAACTGAAATAGAAATGTGTGATATCTTGATAGCTTTAAATGTAATAATTTCATGATTTATTGGAAATTAAATATTCATTCACCACTTTTAGAACAGCCTGGAGATCTTCGTTCGAAAAATAATATGAGCTGCTTTTTAAAAATTAAATTAATATAACAATAGGTGACCCAAATATTTTACTTCTTGATTGGCAGATGGAGCAAAGATTTGGAAGAACTTAAGAAAAAACGTGTCCAACTACTGGGTGACTGTCTCATCAGCTCTGCGTTTTTGAGTTATGTTGGTGCCTTCAGTTGGGAGTTCCGTAATGACCTAGTTTACCAAGATTGGGTAAATGACCTTCGAGAGCGTCAGGTTCCACTCAGTGATCCATTCAGGCTGGAGGACTTGTTGACAAATGATGTGGAAATCAGCAAGTGAGTTACTTTAGAAGGAATTTCTTAATTTTTTTTTGGGGGGGGGGGGGGCAGGGTGTGAGAATTTTATTGGGAACGTCAATTAAAATTAACTTTCAATAAAAACGTTCACATTTTTAGAGAAAATTTTAATTTTCTTTAGAAGGAATTTCTTAATTTTTTTTTGGGGGGGGGGGGACAGGGTGTGAGAATTTTATTGGGAACGTCAATTAAAATTAACTTTCAATAAAATCGTTCACATTTTTAGAGTAAATTTTAATTTTGAAAAATTCTTCTTGTTTTGCAGCTGTCAGTGTGTTAATACAGTTAAAAGATCAAATAAATTTTTGGTTATTTTGTTGATTATATTTTGGTTCAATGTCAATACAATACAAAATTTGAAGAAATTTTTTTTAAAAGTTTCTTTAATGTTATCCCGCATTTCTACTAATTTCTACATTTTTGATCTGTAAATATCTGTTTGTTTCTTATTTTATTTTGTCTGCTGAAGAAGACATCTAGCCAAATCATCCTTTTAATTGTCATGTCTTTTCTTGCAATGTTTTTTCCACTATTTATTTACTTCATACGGCTTGAATGCAGTCCCTCATGCATTATCCTTTGTATTATAATGCTGCATTTAAGATTGGTAAAATGCTTGGCATTATGACTGCAAGAATGTTATAATTAAACAATTTTAAGAATTTTTACCTCAAGTGTTTTCTTTTCGTCTGAGTCTTATGATTATTGCTAATTTTCATTAAAAAGGTGGACCTCTGAGGGTCTACCTCCTGATGAGCTATCCATACAAAATGGCATCTTGACAACTCGGGCCAGCCGATTCCCCATGTGCATTGACCCACAGCAACAAGCCTTGAACTGGATCAAGAAGAAGGAGGAGGCCAACAACCTCAAGGTCAGTCAACAGAGGATGTTCAAATGAACTGGAGTTACACAAGTCCTTAATCTTCTTAAAAATACTTGGTCTTTTTATTAGTTATACATTTGTATTGACCTTGATGAATATATAAAATGTTTGACCCCCATATTCCATTTTAAAAATTCCAGGGTAAATATTTTATGGTTAATATAAAAAAAATATTCTATCATCAAAGTTTTAAAATTATGTAGCAGTAGGCAGCCTGCAGCTCTGGGCCGCAAGTGATTCTTTGAATGATAAATGCATTTCACTATTAAATCTATAGTACTATTTAAACTACACCTCATCCTTTCGGCTTGAGGCTCCCTTAATATTTTCTTAGCAGATATATTTTATTTTTAAAAAGGTTGCTGATCCTTGAGCTAGTGCAAACAATGATCATAAAATTATGAAATGTGTACATTTATTTGCCAGTTAGATTTCATATTTCTAAGGTTTAATCAAAGCAAACCTGATTTCTTTTCTTAAGTGAGAGGCCCCTCTCCCTTTCACCCACCAGACACACATAGATGAACATTCTATATGCCTTTTGAAATCTAGAAGGTTGAGGGAGTAAAACCATTGTATGAAAATATTTAGAGATAAAGAAATATTGCTAGTCTCCTTTAGGAGTCTGACCAAACAACAAAATATCTTTCAGTATGTATTATGAAAATGTATTGACCAATACTTGTCTAATTATGTCATGTGTATGAAAGAATTGGGAGAAGGGAATATTATGACTACTCTAAAAACCAAAGTTATTCCCCAAATTGTGATTACAGGTGTGTACATTCAACGATCCTGACTTCCTGAAACAACTGGAGCTGGCCATCAAATACGGCTTCCCGTTCCTTTTCCAAGATGTGGATGAGTACATTGATCCTGTCATTGATAATGTCCTGGAAAAGAACATCAAAGGTAGGGATAATTAGAGGTGCTTGATACCTTACAATACATTTCATAATATGCATAATATGGCAACAGTTTCACAATATATTTAATAACTTACAAATGGCAATGGTTTCACTTCATGTAAATGTTGGCGGTAAGCAGAATATAAAAAAACAAAATATTTTTATATGATATAAAGAGACTTTTGTTGTGTCACATCAAGGTGCACAAGGGAGAGAATTTGTCATGTTGGGAGACAAGGAGGTGGATTATGACCCCAACTTCCGACTGTACCTGAACACGAAACTAGCCAATCCCAAGTATGGACCAAACATATTTGGCAAGTCTATGGTCATCAACTACACTGTCACACTCAAGGTTTGTGCTACCTTATGCTGAAATAAAAGTAAAAAGATTTCCTTCTATTCTTACCATTTTCTGGCCACAACACATTAGTTCTGTTATTGGGTTAACCAGCTGTCCATGCTATTATATATGTGCATTATATATGTGCATGTTTTATCATCTTTGAAGGATATTGGCTTTTATAAGATATGTATTTATACAGCTGAATACAAATAATCTCTCCTGTTCTTATATTCAATTTGTTATGGTTAAATCTAAAAATCTTTGGATGATTCCTTCTAGAATCATAGGTTCTTTGAAGTAATAGCACCATCTGGTTTTATCCTGTTTTGCTAATAAAATGTTAAAAGTTTTTTCATAGACTCTCTACATAATAAAATTTCCTTTTTTCTTTGCAAACTTTGAAATTTACATAAAACATGACAGAGGTGAATTTTAATTTAATGGATATTTTTATATGTCTTACATGGAGGTTGATTATGTAAAGAAATGATTTATTCTCAAGATTAAATTTTAATCTGTAGGGCCTTGAGGATCAACTGCTCAGTGTTATTGTTAAGTTTGAGAGAAAAGAATTGGAGGAACAAAGAGAAAGACTTATCATGGAGACTAGGTTCTTTATTTTTATCTATTTTACAGAAATTGCTACTTTAACAAACATTTTCCTATTTTATGTACATCTTCTCATGCTTTCATTGATTTATAAAAGAGATTACTGTAAAAAAAATTGGATAACCTTGAATATTTTAAATCTGCTTAATATGAGATACATATTTTTTTTATGGTTGAATTTATAAAAGGCATATATACATATATTATATATTCTTCACAGAAAATTGGCTTTGAAATGATTTTACAATAAAACTGAGGCATACAATATAACTTTGGCGTACAATTTCTTGTCATTACAATTCTGCACAGTGTAAACAAGAAGCTCCTGAAAGACCTGGAAGATTCCCTCCTGAGAGAGTTGGCCCAGTCTCAAGGCAACATGTTGGACAATGTAGAACTTGTGGAGACTCTTGAAGAGACCAAGACAAAAGCTACAGAGGTCAGCTCATAAATCAGTATTTACACAAGTTGCTGTTCGACCAACATTAGTATCAATAAATAACACCTTCACTCCCAAAATAATTTTTTTAAATATATAATGTAATAGTTATTGCATAGATTTCCATGTTGTAAAATTTTTTTGTTTGTGAAGCTGTCTAAGTGATTTTTAAAGAATAATGGTCTTTAAGAATTGGTTAGAATACTTGAGAAAATTGCAGATATTTGTAAGAAAAAAGTAGTGGTGGTCACATATAACTTTTTTTTCATTGAAAAAACATTTAAAAAAAAAAAAAAAATTAAAAAGTTATGTGGTGTTTTAAAAAGGGACTTATTTTATGACACAAGGTAGCTTTATGATTATTTTAAATTTATTTTTATTTTAATTAAGCTAGTCAAAGGTGAGAGAGAATGTAAAATCTATTCATTTAACCCTCACAAAACAAAGATTAGCAAGCAAGCCAAATAATTGCAGATATTTGTAAGAAAAAAGTAGTGGTGGTCAAATATAACTTTTTTTTCATTGAAAAAACATTTAAAAAAAAAAAAAAAAATTAAAAAGTTATGTGGTGTTTTAAAAAGGGACTTATTTTATGACACAAGGTAGCTTTATGATTATTTTAAATTTATTTTTATGTTAATTGAGCTAGTCGAAGGTGAGAGAGAGTGTAAAATCTATTCAATTAACCCTCACAAAACAAAGATTAGCAAGCAAGCCAAGAGTGGTGGAATTTCATAACATTTGACATAATTTTAATGCCTAATACGCTCAGGTATCAGAAAAGCTCAAACTCGGTGCTAAGACAGCCATAGACATAGAAAAACTTAGAGACGGCTACCGCCCGGCCGCCAAGCGAGGGGCCATCCTATTCTTCGTACTTGCTGAGATGTCCCAGGTGAACTCCATGTACCAGTACTCACTGGCCTCATACCTGGAAGTCTTTGGACACTCACTCAAGAAAAGCTTGCCCGATTCCATCCTACAGAAGCGACTGCGTAACATCATGGATACACTCACTCATAACATTTACAATTACGGGTGCACTGGTGAGTTCTTCTACTTTTAGCTTCAATTCTACTTCTTTAGCTTTCTAACTCCCATCGGAGCATAGTGGCTATTTGTTTCAGTTCCTTTGATGTTTATTTCCTTAATGATGCATATTACCCTTGCCCCTGCACTATGTTATCATGACTTACTATATTTTAAATTGCTTGGATAATTGTCACTTATTTAATATTTGTCCCACATCTATTAGGAAAATAAACTACATCTATTTTATTTTCCCTTTCTACCATATACAAATTATCTCCACCCCCCCAAACTTTAAAAAAAAAAAAATTAAAAAAAAAAAAAAATCTCATTCTTGAATTTTCATGTGTAGAAAATGTTAAAGGGTTGAACATGTGAAAATCTTTTAACAAATTAATATTATCCTGAAAAGAAATTGACCTAAAACTAAAAGAGACAAACTGACATGTCATTTAGCTAAATGGTATTGATGCTTAATTTTCTGTTTCTTCAGGTATCTTTGAGAAGCACAAACTGCTCTTCTCCTTCCAAATTAATATCAAACTAGAGCAGGACAAACAAGCAGTTGCTCAAGATGAGCTGGACTTTTTCATTAAGGTAAGCAAACTTGCCATTGGTCAATTTTTTAAATTAAAATATGTATGGTTTTGCAAATTTTTCCTCACATTGTACATGACTTCTTGTACTAGTTAGAAGTCTCTGAAAATTACTGCATATTTTATCATTTTCAAGCTTTCTATGAAATTAAATTTGAGCAGGTTTGGGGGGGGGGGGGTTGGGGGGGGGGGGAATCACAGATGAAAATTATTAATTGTACACTGAAATGTATTATTCATCTAAGAATAAAATCATCATAAAGATAGGAAATTTTGTAAATTTTATAAATGGTTTACATTCTTGGGAATGAAGCAAACAAATTAATCGTTTGTGCATTGAATAAATAAATGTTGATATATGCGCAGTAAAAATATCACAAACAATAAAGATAACCTAAATGAACTAATTCAGTTCAACAATTAAACCTTAATCTTCATGTATTTTTCATAGAATTTCAATCAGAAAGTATTTCTATCATTTATAAGTTTCGTGATCTATATGTTACATCGTAATAGTATATCATAATATTTATTTGATCTTGTTAGGTTTACAATTGTAAATTGGAGCATAGCATAGTTTTTTTTATTGTATTACAACAGTGGTTCTTAACCTTTTTGGAGGTACCGAACCCCACCAGTTTCATATGTGCATTCACCTAACCCTTCTTAATAGGAAAAATAAAATATGATTTTTTTGTTCTGATTTTTTTGGACCTCCGCCGAACCCCTGAGACTGACTCAGGGAACCCCTGGGGTTCGATCAAACCTAGGTTGAGAACCACTGTATTACAATCATCATCTGATGACAAAAAATAAACAATAGTGCTTCATGAGAGCTTTAGAAAATAATTGAGATATTGTACTATCTTTAATCAAATTACCAGATGACTTCCAGCTGATGTATTTATTGTGCACATTTTTATATCGCCCAGGGCAAAGTTGCACTTGAGAAAAGCAAACGCAAGAAACCATTCCCGTGGTTTCCTGATGAGGGATGGGAAGACTGCAATCGTTTGGCGACGGATTTTCCTGTATTTGGATCCTTACTTGATGACATTGAGCGAAATGAAAAAGTTTGGAAAAAGGTAATGATAAAATTAACTATTGAGGTTACGACAAAACTGTACATCTGTAGGCAATTGTGAAATTTTCTCTTAAATTAATAGTAAAAATATATCTTTTTTGTTTACATAATGAATAAAAAAAATAGCTCTTGAATATTGAAGAAATAGAGGTGCTGTGTTATTTAATTAAAGTCAGTATAAAACTAAAACAAAGTGAGGAAAACAAAATTATCTCAATCATATATTTTAATAAATATTATAATTTTTTATTTCTTTTGATTTATTGTTTCGTCTCTTTTTGAAAATTTCCTGTTTTATCTCAAATTATTATTATTTTTTAAAATATTAATTTTATTTAAGGTAAAGTCTACTAATAAAAAAAAAACGGTAATAAAATGGTGCAATGTTTGCCTTTAATTTCAGTGGTTTGATCATGATGCACCTGAATCTCTGCCTTTCCCAATGAACTACGACGACAAGATCAGTGACTTCCAGCATCTTATGCTTCTACGCTGTTTCCGTATTGACCGTATTTATCGTGCTGTGACTGAGTATGTGACAAAAACAATGGGAGAGAAGTATGTAACTCCTCCCATCATCAGCTTTGAGACTGTTTATGAGCAGAGCACTCCAATGTCCCCCATCGTTTTCATTCTTAGCCCAGGCTCAGACCCTGCCAGTGACCTAATTAAGTTGGCTGACCGCATTGGGTTTGGTAGCAATAAAGTGAAGTTCTTATCTATGGGTCAAGGTCAAGAAAAGGTAAGAGGCTCATCATACTAGCTTTAAAAGAATTAACTTCAATGCATTCGTATTCTCATTATTTTCATTCATAAATCTTTCATCATATTTATATTTTGTGGGTTTCATGTTTTTCCTAGGCTAAGAAATGAAGCATGTTTTCTAAAAAAGAAAAAAATATTTTGTAATTTGGTTAATAACAATATTTGAATATTCTCAGGTTGCTCTTCAACTTTTAGAAACCGCAATTTCACGTGGTCAGTGGCTCATGTTACAAAATTGTCACTTGCTGGTGCGATGGCTACGAGAACTAGACAAGCAGCTGGAGAAGATGACCAAACCTCACCCAGACTTCAGGCTGTGGCTGACCACTGAGCCAACACCATCTTTCCCAATCAGCATCCTGCAGAGGTCTCTGAAGGTAATGCCATCTATCATTGTCTCTCAAGCTGAGACTAGAATGTAATCTTCATTTTAAAACATCTTGTGACAGCCCAGTTGTACAAACTGATTTAACTGTTACATCACTGTTATTTTCACTGACAGGTTGTGACAGAGCCTCCAAACGGTCTTAAGCTCAACATGAGAAGCACCTACCACAAGATCCCGGCCACTGCCTTGGCTGAGTGTGAGCATCCTGCATTCTCATCCTTGGTGTTCACACTGGCATTCTTTCACGCTGTGGTACAAGAGAGAAGAAAATATGGCAAGGTAAATAACAACTCTTAAGAAATCGTCCCACCAATATTGGACTATAAAACATAATAACTTTTATTAAACTGTTCTTTGGCAATCATAGGATATTGCATGACCATGAACGCAGAGAGTAAAATATTTTTTTTGTTGCTATTTCTGATTCAACATTTTGATAAGTTAAGATAATATTGGGGTGTGTAAATTTTACTAGAATTTATTGTTTTATAAATTCTATAAAAAATATATATTTCAGATTGGTTGGAATGTCAGCTATGATTTTAATGAGAGTGACTTCAGGGTCTGTATGCAGATCTTAAACACATATCTCAGCAAAGCTGTGGAGAACGGAGAGACTAAAATTCCCTGGAACAGTCTCAAATATTTGATTGGAGAGGTCAGTAATCTCCTCATACTTAACTGTCATGGATGTTAAGACAATAAAATATATGGGAAGCCATTTGAATGGTTATTGATGAATGATTCTTCCATTAATTAGTTTTTTCCTTTAATTTAATAATAGCATTAATAGTTTTATATTTGAATTCATTCTGACATGAATATCCCCAACTAACTTTGCTTTGATCAGGTTATGTATGGAGGGCGTGCCATTGATGACTTTGACAGAAGAATTCTCAGGACCTACATGGATGAGTACATGGGAGATTTTATTTTTGACACATTCCAGCCATTCCACTTTTACCATGATGACAGTGTGGACTATTTCATTCCAGAAGTTGGTGCCAGGGATGTTTATGTTGGTCAGTAATTTCTGTTTAGTTTGAAATTCAAATTAATAAGTAAGACATGATCATTCTAAAGCTACTAACAAAACTAGAACCAGATTTTGGCTTAACATTTGCAAGGAAAATTTTAACAATGTGCATTATGATGTTATACATATCAGTCCAACTGTCATGTGTGTTATCATGCTCTACATATCAGTCCAACTGTCATGTGTGTTGCCGATAAGTCAAGTTTTAAAAAAATAATAATTCCTGGTCAATAATTTTACTTTCCACAATTTTCAAACAAGATTATATTGAGAGTCTGCCATTGGCCAACACCCCAGAAGTGTTTGGTTTAAATCCCAATGCTGAGATTGGCTACTACACCCAGGCAGCCCGTGACATGTGGTCACATTTGGTGGAGCTGCAGCCTCAGACTGGTAAGTTTGGTGGGGGAAAAAAAAATCTGCTACAAAAATACTTAGAAATATGCTTGTTACTTTTCCTTACTTAATAGTCATAAAATTTTCCAGTTATTTATTATGAAACATAAAAATTTTGATTTATTGCTATTTCTATTCATAAAATTTTTCAATATTTATCTTATGACAAAAGTTTTTCATTTTTTTAAACCCATCTCATCATTAGGAGAATCAGCAACTGGCATTAGTCGTGAGGAGTTCATTGATCAAATAGCCCAAGATGTGCTCAATAAACTTCCAGCAGAGTTTGACCTGGATAAAATCAGGAAAAATTTGGGACTGGACATCAGCCCCACAACGGTGGTACTACTTCAGGAGTTGGAGAGATTCAACCTTTTGATTGCGCGAATGAGGAGATCACTGGTCACTCTGAAGAGAGTAGGTTTCTGTTTTAAAGTATAATTTCATGGCTATAGAAATGCTCAACATTTTATTTTCTTAATGTAATAAAATTTGACGCATCTTTTTCAAAACAATTTTCCTGAGATTTAAAATTATTTTTTTTATTTTGGACATTGAAGTTAGCAATTATAAATAAAGTGTTTAACAAAATGACCTTATACTTATAATTTCAACATGTGTAATTACTGAAAGACTCAAGCTCTCACGATCAAACATAATACAATTAAACATGTGCTTCAGATGGACAATGAAACTGATCTTCCACCTAATCCTAGCTGGCAAAAGCACATCGATATTTTGCAAAAACACAAACAATCTGGGGAGAAAAAAATCACTATTTTCCAAAAACACACCACCATCTGGCTAAAACAACCCTGCAGTCTAATATGATGTTAGATGCCTATCAATCAGAAATAAAGCCTCCATCTGAAGTGTCTCAAACAGCTTAACAGCACCAAATGATGTACAATAAGAAACTCTCATAAATAGTACATTTATTTCATAAGCCACAGCTGATATATGTTTATAATTGAAGGATTACATTGGACACATTTTTAACCTTTTCAATGGAAAATAAAATTGGAGGAGGTTATAAATTTTTTTTAAAAAATCAGTTACAATGCAGAATCCAAGATCTTTTTCCAGTTGGTATGCTGTCGTCGGGATAATAATTTTCTCATAATTATTTTTTATTGACATCAGGCTCTGGCGGGAGAAGTTGGCATGTCCAGTGAACTGGACGATGTGGCCAGGTCTATGTTTAATGGTCAAATCCCAGCAATATGGCGGCGTCTGGCGCCTGACACTCTTAAGTCTCTGGGGAACTGGATGATTCACTTTGAGAACCGCTATAAGCAGTACAACTCATGGGTAAGCCATCATATTACAATATAAGTTATCTGGAGCTGTCAGATAAAACACAAAAATTTAACTACACCAGTGAAAAAAGTCAACACAAAATAATATTGTGAGCTGCCCGTAAACTACCATTATTCCTCTATACCAAAGTGTTGCACACTACGCTGACAATGTTCAAACACAATGAACAACCCAACTGTTGTTTTTCCTCCTAATTCAAAAGGTCAATGAAGCGGAACCTTCGGTCATGTGGCTGTCAGGTCTACATATTCCTGAATCTTACCTGACGGCTTTGGTGCAGGCAACCTGTCGAAAGAATGGATGGCCACTGGACAAATCTACCTTATACACTTCAGTCACAAATTACAAGTCTGCAGAGGATGTCACAGAGAGAACCACTTCAGGTAAAGAAGTCATTACTTTAACTTGTTGAGAACCACTTCAGGTAAAGAAGTCATTACTTTAACTTGTTGAGAACCACTGAGGTGTATTCAACACTTGGCTAATTGAGGTCAAAGGCCAATAAAACCATTTTGATAAAAGTCCAAACTTTTTAAAACATGTGACTAATATTCAACTTGGAAAACACTAAACTATTGTCACAAATTTTTGATCATGTCTTATATATATTAGATAAAAGAAGACTTACCATGTCATTGTAGTCATTGGTTTAAAACAAGGGTTCTTAAACTTATTGCAACGCCACACCTGCCCTTTAGTTTTAAAAAAAATGTATCCCACAACCCCCAGGATAGTAAATGCTGATAAAAATGCAAATAAACCTGATTTATTTAAAGTCTTCTCACACCCCTTGACACTTTCTCACATAACCCCTTAACTTAACACTGCCTCCCACAACCCTAACACTGCCTCCCACAACCCTAACACTGTCTCCCACAACTCTAACACTGTCTCCCATACCCTTAACTTTACCCCTAACACTGTCTCCCATAACCTTAACTTTACCCCTAACACTGTCTCCCATACCCTTAACTTTATTCCTAACACTGTCTCCCACACCCCCTTACACTGTCTCCCACACTCCCTAACCCTGTCTCCCGCACTCCTTAACACTGTCCTCCATACCCCCTAAGTGCTATGAACCCTTCCATGATTTTAAAATGTTGTTCTAGTAAATTGTTCAGCTGAATAAAAATCGTATTTTGTAGGTTGTTTTGTGCACGGCTTGTACCTAGAAGGAGCTGGTTGGGATCTTCCAGAAGGTCATCTCTTACCTCAAAGGCCAAAGCAGCTAATACAGGAGCTGCCTGTTCTCAAGATTATTCCAATTGAGGCTCATAGGCTGAAACTTCAGGTAAGTCCAGTTAACGCAGTCTCAGTTTCATAAAATGAAATTGTTAGCTTTGTCTGTAATTGTTTCCTTGACTAGATGTAGTTCATGTTAAATGATTTGTTTTTTTTTTCCATTGGATACTTCTTAATATGGATGTTACTAATCATTTAAGTTATACAAAAAAATTTTAAAGCCTTCAAATTAGCATCTTAAAACCAAATGGATGCATAACACTGAAGTGTTTTATGGCTATCATTTTGTGTTCCAAAAAATTTTAAACAAACAATTTCCTTGTTTCACCTCTGTTAGAAAATATAAAATAAATCAACTTTTGAATTCTCAATATTAACCATAATATCCTCAGAACACGTTTCGTACTCCAGTATACACAACATCGCAACGTCGTAATGCCATGGGAGTCGGCTTGGTTTTTGAGGCTGATCTGGCAACTCAAGAGCACAACTCTCACTGGGTCCTGCAAGGAGTTTGTCTCATACTCAACACTGATTAGAGCTCTATGCATTCCTTCAAAGATTTTTACAAAAAATTGTGGAGGTTTAACTAAAGAGCCAAGATTCTTTATTTAAACCCAGAAAATGTTTAACCAAAATAATGTTTCAATTTAATCCCTCATTTAAAAAATACCAACAAATGACATTATTATTTGTTCCTGAATTAATTTTTAAGCAAGCAGTATTTTGCCATGTTAATATTATAAATTATTAAACGATCCCTTAGCATTGTTTTTTGAATTGTGTAATTATTGGATTTTTGTCCAACTTTACTAATTTTTTTAAAAATTAATAAATTTTAATGAATTTGTTTTGAGCTATAACGAATGTTTAAAAATATTTCATGTATTGAATAATTTAATGTATATATTTATGTAAATATCCTATTAATGTAATATTTTCTAATGTAAACAATAATGATTTAAATTTGTATTCTTCTTAATTGATATAACAAGTTTGATATTAAAATAACAAATGAAGAACTTCTGTTGCAGTATTAAGACAAGTGCTTTTTTTTTTTTGACATACCAAAGAGCTTGGTGATAAGGGCCTTAGTGACCTGGGTAAAAGAACAAAAATTTAATTTAAGAGTTCTAAGCAGGCCAACTCTCCATTTTAAATCAATAATCTTAAAAAAATTATTATTACCAAAGCAAACACATTTTTAATATTAGTAAGAAAGGAAAATCAAGATAAGATTAACAATTAATATTAGCTTTGCATGTTGCTATTGCAAAACAATATATATTTTTTTTAAAATGCTGTAACAAAAGTTATATTTTTGTAATTACTTTTATATTTTTATTTTGCCGAGAAATGTTTTTACTGATAGTTCTAATTCCACATGTCTCCATGAGGTGTGTCTGTCAAGTCAATTAAAATTGTAATTGAAATATATTAAAATATTTGTTTTCTTGCTTCTCTACGGTGTTTTTCCATATGTGCTCTTTTAAATGTTTACTTTGTCCCCACTTTACATGAACTTGTTATGGATTTTGTTTCTGTCCAGCTTGTTACTATACTGTCTAGCTTGTTACTTTATTGTCTAGCTTGTTACTTTACTGTCTAAATTGTTACTTTACTGTCTAGCTGATTACTTTACTGTCTAGCTTGTTACTTTACAGTCAAGCTTGTTACTTTACTGGCTAGCTTCTTACTTTACTGTCTAGCTGGTTACATTACTGTCCAGCTTGTTACTTTATTGTCTAGCCTGTTACTTTATTGTTTAGCTTAACTTTACTGTTAAGCTTCAAGGGAATTTATTGACGAAATTTTAAAATCTATGCATCAGACAGATATAATAATATGATATTTAATTGTTTTTTAAATAAAAATTCTGATTTTTTTATAAGTGCAGGATAAAATAGTGGATAGATCTAATTCAAATGCGTAAAATTTGTGTCCGCCAGAGTTAACATTTTTAAAAAGCATTTAACACTTATTTATTGCCTAAACTTATTGGTTATAAACATTATAAAAATCAAAGCTATAACAAAATTCTTGCAAAAATAAAATTTTAGTTATTTTACTTGAATTTACATGTCGTGAAGAGAAATATTCTGTGAGAAAATGGTAAAAAAATGTACAAATGCAATATAAACCTTCATTTTACTTCAATTGCTAGTTTTAACGTGCCAGAAAGGGAAAATAATTGTTAAATAAACATTAGATTTAATTAAAATGTTGTAAATATAAAAATACTTTTTAAAAAGCCATAAGACATCAATATTTATATTATACAAAAGGAGGTTATAATTCTTTAAAGGATTTTTTTTTTTTTACAATACTCTTCAAAAAATAACCGTAAGTGGTGGGGATACCACTCTACTGCATTGGGAGGGGGGGGGGTAATTTTGGCCTAGGTAACCGACCTTAATTCCGAGGGCTGAACATATACAAAAGGAGGTTATAATTCTTTAAAGGATTTTTTTTTTTTTACAATACTCTTCAACAAATAACCGTAAGTGGTGGGGATAGCACTCTACTGCATTGGGAGGGGGGGGGGTAATTTTGGCCTAGGTAACCGACTCTAATTCCGAGGGCTGAACAAGTTTAAGCAATTAATTATTTTTTTCCATTAAAGGTTTTCAAAAAGTGAACGGTTTTTTTTTTTAAATTTGGCAGAAATTTTTATAAATCTTCATCAGCACCTAGAGCAGATCCGTCACTTGGCCCCTGCAACATCTACAGCTGAAAGGAGCCCAAAGTTGTGATGTGGAATTTGTAAATAACGATTAACTTTGAAATGCAGGGGAAGATCCGAAAAGTGCCTGGAGGGCCTCCAAAAGTCCCTCCTCGACGGCTCTGTCTAGAAGTTGAGAGTCCATGATCTATGAAAAATAACTAGCTAGATCGTCCCTCATAATTTTTCCGAAGGAGTTGATATTACAGAAAGCCCATTGATACTTTTCGAGGTAAACTTTATGCAAGATAAGACTTATCAACGATTGGTCGTAGAGGTGACAGAGTCCGTACGCGATTGGTCCATTATTCTCTAACCAAAGTTTATTCATGTCTTTGCTCTGTCTGCAAGTGCCGTTGAATCGGTCAGGCGGACACATGCACTGAGCATTCAGGGCACAGGCGACCCATGGCTCAAGAATAAGTCGGTGAACGAAAACTTCATTGCGGTAGATCCCGAAAGAGCATTTGGTCATCTTCAGATCAAAGTAAGCGCAAGGCTCGTCTCCGAAGAAGTGATACATACTTCTAAAAGTCCTGAAAGCGGAAATGACGTTACTACCGCCGATTTGTATGCCCCTGTCGCGTGCGTTTTCGATTACCGTCTTGATGTTGGCGGCGTTTTCAAAGAGCCGAATCGAAGCGTCCATCCATATTAAAATATTTGTCCTCTGCAGTACAGATTTGATCATGACTGGTTTCCAAGAATAGCAGCGGAGCTCTTGGATAAAATCTGGGAATTTCCGAAATGGAAAGTCGATGACCTGGCACTTGCAGTTCTTAACAACCATCCTCCGTTCGTCTGCCGTTAGTCCAAGATTAAAATAAATTAACGTGAAGTTCTTCAAAATTGGGAACAACCTCTCGTGGACGGTCATCAGCATAGCTTGAGATTCGTTGTAATGGTTGGAGGAAGCTCCGGTCAGGATGATTATATCATAATAACCTTTGACCTCGCCTGCAATTCCACGCAAGATCTCGCGCTGTTCAGATGTCAACTGAAGCTCTCGGGGCCCCACAAGCTGCCGGACTCTGGTCCTCACGTCTGATGGTAGGTCTTTTTGCAAGCAGGCCCCGTTGTCGCAACTGTTCGCCAATGTGAACTTTTTGTGGCAGGTTGGTTTGAACGAAGCAGACGACGACCCATTGATTGCTGAAAGTTTTGAATTAAGGATTTCAGTTAAATAGTCAATGTCACGTGTTCGTTCAGTCGCTTCATCTTCTTGCTGTCCTTCATTCGTGTAAACGTCCCCTCTCCTTGGCTCGCCGTTCTGCTCCACACTCAGAGACGTCATGTCCGCTGCATCATAATTCTTCCATTCGCTTAAACCAGATGTGGAAATGAGGTCAAATCTCCGATACAGCTGAGAAAAACGGGTGTTCTTGTCTACGAGCAATCCAAAGGCAAACAAAGTTAACACAAGGAGCATTAGCTTGACTCCACCCCCGCAAGACGAAAACCTACCAACATGTTTCATCTTCTCAATTCACAGCCTGTAATGTATAAATCTATAATATAACTCAAAATACTCTAATGTAATAATTATTATATAATTATATAATATAGGCATACACCTAATTTAATGTATAAATCTATAATATACCCTTATGTATTATATATTCCATATATAATATACCCCTAATGTAATGTATAAACGTATAATATACCCCTAATGTAATGCATGAATATATAATATATTCTTAATGTATGTAATATTATATATATGTAGTTTATAAATGTATCTACCACTAATGTATGTATCAATCAATAATATTCCCCTAATGTAATGTATCAATCTGTAATATACCCCTAATCTAATTTTTAAATCTATAATATACCCCCGATGTATGTATAAATATATAATATATCCCTCCTGATGTCATGTATAAATATAGGCTAGGCTACCCTTATTGTAATGTAGAGATCTGCAATAAACTCCGAGGAAAATGTATAAAGCTATAAAAAGCCGTAATGTAATGTTAATATATATATATATATATATATATATATATATATATATATATATA